ATGCATTACATGACTGTGAACATTGTGGCAAACTAGGTCACAAGATTGACAAGTGTTATGCATTACATGGTCGTCCTCCTCAATCTGCTGCAGTTGCTCAGACTGATCTTTCCCCACCTTTATCTGCTAAGGATCCTCCTTCTATTTCATCAGACACACCTGCTATGTTCAACAAATTCTCAAATGGTATAAGGATCAACAATCTTTTAGTTTCACTGTGTATGTCGCACACACAGGTACATCTTTTGTTGGTCTGACCCAATATTCTTCTGGTCCTTGGGTTTTTGATTCAGGAGCCACTGATCATATTACTGGTAACAAATCTTTGTTCTCCTCTTTATCCTCTCCTGATCCTTTACCTTTTGTTACACTGGCTGATGACTCTAGAGTATCATCTCATGGTGTTGGAACTATTAAACTTTTCCCTTCTTTAACCATTGATAATGTTCTTTATGTCCCTGAGTCTCCTTTTAACCTGTTATCCATCAGTCGTCTAACTCGTTCTCTTGATTGTGTTGTTTCTTTTACCAAAAATTTTGTGTGTTTACAGGACTAGAGTTCGAAACAGGTGATTAGCACAGGATGTGAGTCTCATGGTCTTTATCATCTTCGTCCCTTTACACATGTTGGTGCAGTTATAGAGTCTCCCTCTCTTCTCCATGCTCAGTTAGGTCATCCAAGTCTTGCCAAGTTACAGCAACTTGTCTCTGCCTTATCTAAATTGTCTAGTTTGGCATGTGAGTCGTGTCAATTAGGCAAACATAGTCGTACTTCCTTTCCTCGTAGTGTCACACGTGGTGCTTCGTCCCCTTTTGTCGTGGTTCACTCTGACATTTGGGGACCTAGCCGCGTTATGTCTACTTTAGGTTTTCAATACTTTGTTACTTTCATTGATGATTATTCCAGATGCACTTGGTTATTTTTGATGAAAAATCGTTCTGAATTATTTCATATCTTTCAAACTTTTTTCAATGAAATTCAAACTCAGTTCGGTGTTTCTATTAGAGTTTTGCGCAGTGATAATGGTCATGAATATCTTTCTCATTCTTTTAAACAATTCATGGCTTCTCATGGTATTTTGCATCAAACTTCTTGTGCTTATACACCTCAACAAAATGGTGTAGCTGAACGTAAAAATAGACATCTTATTGAAACAACTCGCACTCTTTTAATTCATGGAGAGGTTCCTCAACATTTTTGGGGTGATGCTCTTCTTACTGCATGTTATCTTGTTAATCGCATGCCATCTTCGGTTTTAGATAATAAAATACCTCATTCCATTTTATTCCCTCATGAACCACTTCATCCCTTACCTCCAAAAGTTTTCGGGTCTACATGTTTTGTTCATAATTTCAGTTCTGGTCTTGACAAGCTTTCTCCTAGATCACATAAATGTGTTTTCTTAGGGTTTACAAGATCATAAAAAAGATACAAATGTTTTTCTCCTTCTCTAAACCGTTATTTTGTGTCTGCAGATGTCACCTTTGATGAGTTCTCTTTTTATTTTAAAAGTCAATCTTCACCTCTTTCTCCATCCAATCTTGTCAACACTCCTAGTACATTTAATGTTCCTATTGTTTGTGACCCTCTAACTGTGTCTTCTTCACCAGGTTTATAGTTGCCGAAACCAATAACAACCACCACCATGTGACTCTACTCAAGTGCCAACTACTCTGTCTCCTCCGGATGTGACACCTGAGTCTGACCTTCCCATTGCCCTCCGAAAAGGTATCTGTTCTACACGTAATCTCTCTCTCCATTATATTGGTTTGAGTTATCATCGACTGTTATTACCTTTTTATACATGTTTTTCCTCTCTTTCTTCTGTGACCATTTCAAAAAATGTCCGTGAAGCTTTAGCCCATCCTGGTTGGCGTCAGGCCATGTTAGATGAACTAAGTGCTCTTCATAATAGTGGAACTTGGGAATTGGTCTCGTTACCGTCTGGGAAATCTGTTGTTGGTTGCAGGTGGGTGTTTGCTATCAAAGTTGGACCTGATGGTACTATTGATCGCCTCAAAGCTCGTCTTGTGGCCAAAGGTTATACTCAAATTTTTGGGTTGGATTATGGAGATACCTTTTTCCCTGTGGCAAAGATGACTTCTGTTCGTTTATTTATCATCATGACCGCTCTTCAACAATGACCTCTTTATCAATTAGATGTTAAAAATGTTTTCCTCAATGGTGATTTGCAAGAAGAAATCTATATGGAGCAACCTCCTGGGTTTGTTGCTCAGGGGGAGTCTTCTGGGATGATATGTCACCTTTGCAAATCCCTATATGGCCTAAAACAATCTCCTAGGGCCTGGTTTGAAAAGTTTAGCAAGGTTGTTCAACAATTTGGTATGACTCGGTGTGAAGCAGATCACTCTGTCTTTTATCGACACTCAAGTGCTGGATGTGTTTACTTGATAATATATGTTGATGACATCGTTCTTACAGGTAGTGACAACCATGACATCTCTCAGTTGAAACAACATCTCTGTCACCATTTTCAGATCAAAGATCTTGGCAAACTTAGATATTTCTTGGGTATTGAGGTGGCACAATCCAATGATGGTATTGTTATATCTCAAAGGAAGTATGCCATGGATATTTTGGAGGAAACTGGGTTGATGAATTCAAAGTCTGTTGATACGCCCATGGATCCCAATACTAAACTTCTACCAAATCAGGGGGAGCTTATACCTGATCCTGAGCAGTATAGAAGATTGGTTGGAAAATTGAATTATCTTACAGTTACTCGTCCTGACATTTCCTTTGCAGTCAGTGTGGTAAGTCAATTTCTTAATTCCCCATGTGAAGATCATTGGAATGCAGTCATTCGTATCTTAAAATATATTAAAGGATCTCCTGGAAAAGGATTTTTATATGATTCTAATAACCATACAAGAGTTGTTTACTACTCAGATGCTGATTGGGCAGGATCTCCTTCGGATAGAAGATCTACATCTGGATATTGTGTCTCCATTGGTGGTAACTTGGTCTCATGGAAAAGTAAGAAACAAAGTGTTGTGGCAAGATCTAGTGCAGAAGCATAATATAGAGCTATGACCTCAGCTGCTTGTGAACTTGTTTGGCTCAAGCAATTGCTCAGAGAGTTACAATTTGGAGATGTCATTCAAATGTCACTTGTGTGTGACAATCAGGCTACTCTTCATATTAGTTCTAATCCTGTCTTTCATGAGAGGACTAAACACATTGAGATTGACTGTCATTTCATTCGAGAAAAGATTATGTCTAGAGATATCAAGACTGAGTTTGTTAACTCAAGTGATCAGTTAGCAAATATTTTTACTAAATCTTTACGAGGTCCTAGAATTGATTATATTTGTAACAAGCTTGGCACATACGATTTGTATGCTCCAGCTTGAGGGGGAGTGTTAGATATTGTTTAGATATTATTTGATATTGTTAAGATATTGTTAGATATTGTTAACCACAATATCAAACAATATCTTCTGTTTATTCTATTACTTTCAGTTACTCTTTTAATTGTATCTCTCTACTATAAATAAATTACCCTATGTGTGATTTATACATAAGGGAGATTAATCCTAAACTTTATTTCTTTTATATTCAACATATATAAAAATTGTTTCCATTATCAATTTTACTTTCAAGAAATAGGACTGACCCAAAGTATTGAAAATACTAACATTATGTGTCATATAATTTATGCACCAATTATTAATAAATCACGCCTCTTTGTTATTGCTTGTTAAATAGCAAATAACAACCATAAATGCTCCTCAAATTTGTTTTTCATGCTTAGCAATTTGGAATTGTTGGTGTTGGTTCCGTTTCATATATATATATATATATATATATATATATATATATATATATATATATATATATATATAACCAATGAATATATTAGTTTTGTAATTGAAAAAAAAATGCAGGGTTGAGGAATGGGGAGCAGTTGATGGTAACAATTGTTACAAGGAAACAAATATGATTACAGAAGAGGGGTATTGGGGAAGGATTGTGATCCTAAAATGATGGGTGTGGTAGAGAATGTGCTTGATGATTTGAAAGCCAGAGGTTTGAAAGTTCAAATGTTGAACATTACACTGCTCTTAGAATACAGAAAAGAAGAACACCCATCTATCTACAGAAAGCAGTGGTATTCTCTAACCAAAGAACAAATTGCAAACCCAAAAAGTTATGCAGATTGCATATATTGGTGCCTCCCTGGAGTTGCTGATGTGTGGAATGAACTCCTTTATGTCTATATTTTCCATCAATAACATTTGTTGAATATAACAAGCTTGCAAAATAGTATGAGTAAAAATTACAGGATAATACGTATGGCTTGAAATTTTAGTGAAAATAAAATTGTGATCAATTTTTGAATCAGTAAAAGTATTGATGTTAATATACAATTATCGTTTATCCATAAGTAAACCAAACTTAGACCGACATATACAGTGTTAAGGATTAAAAACACGAAAAAAATATCTTAGACTAAATTTTTTTAAGTTTCCAGTCAAATTTACTTTCTTGCATGCCTCACTAAAAGAGTAATTACAAAAATAATCTAATTACTTAACTCAGTATTAATATAGATTTTTTTTTTCATTTTGTAATCAAATAATTCGCTACTATGCTAAAAAATCTGTTTCATCGAACATTGAAATAAAATAAATAAATATTATCTTACAAATAATCCTTACACTTAAAAAATTAACTATATCTAATAAAACATTTGTATATTTTAACAATAATGAGAACAAAGTGCACCTTGGTTGGTTAAAGAGGCAAAACAAGAGACAAATTGCTTAAAGTAAGAGCAATGAAAGGATGCAAACATCACATATCTATGTCCTGAAAATCAAAATAAATACGAACTAAAAAGAAATTAGCATTACCAAGAAATACAATGCGTAAAGTTTGAACTTTAGAAATAAATTTGGGGCACTTTCTGACGTCTATTCTGAAAGGCAGAAAGTTCCAAATGCATTGTTTAGGCATAGCATTCGACATGGAACATCCTAAGCAGTTTCTGTTGCCGGTTGGGTCACCCCAAACTTCACCAACAACTTAGTCAGGTTTTCTGAGGAGCAAACTTGATATTTGACTTTTCCAGAGGGTGAGAGAAAAACCTCAGCAAGTTCAAGCTTTTCAGAGGTAAGACTAGTACTGTCCATAGTTTTGCTTAGTACCTTCAGTGCAAGTTGAACTGCTTCCTCCCTTGTGATATCATCCTTGTAGTCCTGTTTCAGAATTGACTGGGCTGCCTGGTTGTTGGCACCAATAGCTGCAGCTTTCCAACCACCATAATTTCCACTGGGGTCACTAGTGTAAAGCTGAAAGCCAAAATTCTTGTCCCAACCTGCAAAGAGGAAAGATACTCCAAATGGTCGAAGACCACCGAACTGTGTGTAACCTTGCTTGGTATCACAGAGAGATTGAACCAGTTGCTCAACAGGCATTGGCTCTTGGTAAGCATATGCATAACGTTGTGCCTGGACCCTAGCAGTATTGATTAGGATGTTGGCATCAGACATAATTCCAGCAACGGCACATGCAACGTGATCATCAATCTTGTACATTTTCTCAGTGGAAGTTGAGGTTTGCAGCAGCTTGGATGTGACTTTCTTTTCGCCAACCAGAACAACCCCATCTTTTGACAAAATCCCTATAGCAGTACCAGCATTACCAATTGCCTCCATTGCATACTCCACTTGGTAAAGACGTCCTTCCGGGGAGAAGATTGTTGTACGGCTATCATATCTTCGAGACATATTGATCTGAGATTTTGTTCAGAGCAAAGACATTGGAAGGAGAGAAATGAATAAAGTACAGCTTAGGTAAAAGAAATTAGATGAGAAAAGACTCCTATTGAATAAAAATATAATCATTAGGCAGTTTTTATGTTAATACCTTGTCTTGAATAAATTAAATTACCACTTTGAATAATAACTCTTTCTGCATGCATTCTTTTGTCAGTAGTTATCTTTTATGAAATCCTCCTGTGGATTAATTATGCTAACACTTGTCTCTACATAGATTGCAAGCTCAATGGAAAATAACAAACTAGAGTACAATGGCCAATGGAAAATGAAATTCAATTACCAGAGGGTCAGTAGATGAGCCACATGGAGGAATTAAGGTTTTGCAATAAGGTGGGTACAGCAGGATATTCCAGTAGGGAGAATATGCTATGGGATGGATAGGAAAGTGGAAAGATATTTTTGATTGAGAGGAGTGAAAGAAGAGGATAAAATGGAAGTTGTCATGGTGGCAAAGGAAGTAATGTGTCATCTTGGTTCCGGTGGAGGGAAATATGCAATCAAGACCAATCTTGGGTGGGTTTCAAGAATGCACTCGTTCAAAGGTTTCCACCACTATTAGTGGGAGATCCTTTTAAATCATTGTTGGAACTAAGGCAGGAGAAATCTGTGAATGAATTCATCACTCAGTTTGAAAAATTTGCAGGATTTATTAAGGGGTTAGATGAACAATATTGATGGGAAGATATTTTCCAATGGGTTGAGGTAAGAAATGACAGCAAATTGAAATTGTATAAAACAGAAAATCTTTCTGAAATGATTAATAAGGCCAAAGCCATCGAAGGAAAAAAATATGGCAATAGCTAAGGCTGTAGGGGATTCTGGTATCCGTGGTGCAGGAGGAACATAGTTATCCTACTGTAAGATGGACAAAAGAGTGGCTATCAGCACCTTCAAAAATATCTGCAGTAGCAAATTTGCACTGTTCTCAATCCATGGTCAACAAGGACAGTACTGAAGTGAAGCCCAATAGTGATGGGTGGGATAGAGAAAATTTTAAAAGATTAATGCATTTGGAATTGCAAGAGAGGATTTTAAAAGGAGAGCATTTTCATTGTGATGAAAAATATAGTTGACGATACAACAAAAAACTTTCTTATTAGGTTTGGGCAGAGGTGATGTTTGGGGTTGGAATAGCTATCAAGTTTGGGAGAGATCAAGGCAAATTTTGATACTCTAACCTTCAAGTTAAAAATTAATGGGGAGAAGTTGTTGAAACTTGAAAGTTAAAAATTAAAAATTTTGATACTCTAAACTTTAAAAACAATTAGAGGGGTTTAGCAAGATGATAGACGGGTACATTCTGGAATGGAAGAAAATATTAGATACAACAGAGATCACCAAGATTTCAGAGTGAATACAGATGGTCGTTGATGTATATTCAAATGTTTTTCATGCTCCAGGTAATCTACCTCCTCTAGGAGGCAAAATCATGCAATTGTACCGAAACCAGATTCTCAAATTCCAAATATTAGGCCATATAATATCTCCACTACCAGAAGACATATCAAAAAATGACCGTAAATTCACAGAATAATAAAACTTTGGTTCAGTCATTCATCCCAGAGACAATCTGTCATATCAATAGCTCCAAACAAACAGTTGTGACATTCTGAAACAATCAAGGTTGGGGCTTTAACTATTCAATTAAAAGTAAGCACATTACATTTTGAAAATCACACGAATTAGACAAATACAACCTTAAAAAAAAGAGAGAAAATAAACCTCTGAGGACATCTAGAATTAATGCACGACTACTAACCTAGAAATTCTGAAAATATCAGGAATCCAAAAAGGTACAGCCATTAGCCATTAAGGAAATCATTGAAAGATTTTACAGCCCAGACAGCAGACATAAATCTTCCTTCCACTAGAACACCATATTTCAAATGCGAACCTCAACTATCCTAACTACAAACTAGATCCTAACATCAATTTCATCAAACTTTGAAACAAATAGATGTTAATGTCCAAAATTGCCCTAAAATAATTGGGCTAGAAATATTAGTCCAAATAGTTCACATCTAGTTTAAGTGCAGCCACAGATGTCTGAACATATTAACAATCATACACTAAACAAATTAGTTCCCGAGAAAAACATAGGACTCAAAAACATGGATTGTCAGGAACGGGAATAGGGTTTTCGCATTCTTGGCTAGAACAAAAATTGAGGATTTCCTAGTTAATAAATCATCATCCATATTCAACATATCGAGTATTCAACTCTTAGCAGAGACCCATAAAAGTGAAACTATAATTTCATGTAATGAATCGTAGTTTTATTAAAAACGCACATATTTTCCAGAATGTTAAGAAACTTTGAAACAGTTCAGAGGGCGAAGTGTTAAAACATTCGATTATTGGCATGGGGAAATACGATTGTGCAATTAAAAAGAAAAATACCAGAAATGGTGAAAGCGAAGATGGCGATCGGAGAACAGAGGAGAGAGAGGAGGCGTTGGCGCAGTGAGTGTTGCTGAAGCTGAAAATAAGAGGAAGGAATCAAAATCTATAATATCATAGGTTTCTTGTTTCGATTTTTAAAATTTAAAAAAATAGAGAATATCTCTTTTAAATTAAATTACCACACAGTTAACTTTTTATTGACAAAAAATTTTGATTATAAAAATAAAAAATTAAAATAAATTGTCATTTAAAATTTATAATATATTGGTCATAAAAGTAAAATCTTTTATAGCATTTGAAGTACAAGAATTATAATACAAGAATTATAACATTTTTTTCTCAAATTAAAAATTAATGTTAAATCTGGGGTAAAAACATGTTCATTTTTAAAGATTTAATCACTTAATTATGTTAATGACATTTTAAAAACAATTTATCATTAAATATGATTGGTCCAGGTTGTTTGTGGTTGTTCCATGACATTTAGGGTTATACTTTAAACTTTATTTAATGAAATTAATCTAATATAGGATTTGCATCAACAACTTCTTTATATTATTATGTAATGGTGTTTAACTTTATTATAATGAAGTATTATATATATATATATATATATATATATATATATATAAATAAGAGATATTAATAATAATAATCATAATAAAATCATGTTAATTGTAAGGCCACAACATTAAGTTAAACGCATGTTTTTCCACTTATTGAAATGAAAATTTATATGCTTTTAAATATCAATATATATTTTTTATAAACTGTAAAAAATATTAATTAAATGTCATCAGGTTTTGTGGTCCTCCTAAGAAAATCATAACAGTTATAATTATATATCATGGCTAATCTATGTTGTTTAAAAATAATAATTAAATATTACAAATTTTAGTATAATGTTATGTATTTAAGATATAATTTGATTTATAATTATTAATTATTCATTCAGAATAAAAACTATCTCATTGATATTTTTTAATTTGGTATTATTTATAGTATAACCTTTACTTCTTATATAATTAAAATGCATACTACAAAATATTTTGAATAAATAAATTAGTATTATTAGAAGCCATATTTTAAATTAGTTTTATTAGAATTTTATTTCAATTATTAATCATATTTTAATTTAAATAATACATGGAAATAATCAAAATAAAGAACTTAAAAATTAAATTTAAGTAATTATATCTTTAGTTAAATGTATAATTTTTGAATTTTTATTTAATTATTATTATAATTTAAGTTGTTTAACTATTAAACAATTGTAAAACAAATGAAGTATAATAAAGAGGACTTAAACTGTATAATTTGTAAAGAATAATAATATTTTTTTAATGAAAATTATTATATACTCTTTTATATTAAAAAAATGGATCCCTAACTTGGTTGTTTAGTTATATAGAGTCACAAAATTTGTATACATCTGGTTAAAAGGAAAACAGAAAAAAAGAAAGAAAGAAGAAGACTGAAGAGGATAATATATAGTTGATAATTTTTTTATTTTATTTTATAGCTTAATAACTTAATTGATTTCATTCTTAATTTAATGTATTTTCCTCTTAAACATTTTATTCGTCCATACGAAGGGTTTAAGCCTTTTAGGTCCAATGCTCAAAAACTCGCTCCTTTGGTTTCTCAATTTCGTTGAGTCAGGCTTTGCCGCAGCTCTGCCGCCTCCTCCTGTCGCCGCGGTCCTTCGGTGACGACGGACAACACCCACAATTGTTCCTCCGTGAAATAGTGTCCGTTTTCCCCATCACTTCTCTTTGCCTTCGTTTTGTTCGAGGTTCGTTAATCCTGCAATTTCTCCCAATTTTATGCGTTCTTATTTTTCAGCTTTTGATTTGTATGGAGTTGAACTACACGGTTCGGGCGATGTCCCTCGCCATTTCTACATTGATATGGGAGTGAGAGTTACGATAAAAGTTATCTGATGAAGATATTCATGGGAGATTTAGGCGCTACTCTTCTCCTAAAAATCACCTTTTAAATTTAATTTATTATTTATATTTTAATAACAAAAATGCAGTTGTATTATTTCATTTTACATTATATTTTCAAATGAGAAGCGTTAAATTCTAATATGATTGCAGGATATTTGGACTTTTGTCATCGCAAACATTTATAAAGTAGTCGTGTTCTCTCAATATATTTGTGACATTGATACTTTAGGTGTGTTCTTTAGGAGGTACAGCTAGTTGGATTCTCGCGGTCTCTTTGTTCCTTTATTTTTTGATGCATAAAGAACATTGAGGCAATATTTTGAGAGAACTTATGAGTTATGGCTGTCAGCTGTTTTTATTGTTTTAAAAAACTCTAGTGTAGATCATGTAAACAACTTATTGCATATACGAAAGTTTGTTTAATCATATTTTCTCTTCAATAATAAAAACAACTTGTACACTAATACTTATAAAATAAGTACTTAGGGGTCTGATTAGATAAACTTCTTCATAAACAATTTTGCAAGAAGTTAATATCAGAGAGATTGTACAAATTACTTATGTATGGGCTAATTTTAATTTTGGAAAGAACTCTTTTTTTCGTTTTTACCTTTTATTTTATTCTTATTGAAGTATTATAGAGAAATTTATGTGAGCAGACACTTGTTCTCTAAGTCCTTAAGTAAGTTGTTTATTAAAATAGACCCTTAATAATAATAGTTATTTTCAAAACAGAAAATAAATCTTAAATAAGTTAATATTTTCATAATTAAAGGTAAATTTATAAAATGGAAATAGAAAGCAATTTTCTCTGTTCAAACAGCTTCTTAGAAATCATCTGTAGTTGGGCAGTGTTTTTAAATGTTTTTCTTTTGTCTGGTGGTGTGCAAGGTCTTGTTCTTGCATAATACGTACTGAGTTTACAATTTTTGCATTGTGACTTTCATCTAAAGGATCAAGTTTGGCTGCTGGGAGGTATATTTGAGTACTGACTATAGGAATTTAATTTTTGCAAGTTTTGGACAAATATTTGCTTTTGTGTACATCCCTGGTTTCAGCCCATGAAGTTCAAATGTGTAATTAATGGTATTTATTTAAAAAAAAAATCAATTGGTGTATAGCAGGTTGGGAGGAGAAAATGAAGCAAGTAGTAGGAATGGTGGTTTCCAATAAGATGCAGAAATCTGTTGTTGTTGCAGTGGATAGACTATTCTACCACAAAGTGTATGATCGTTATGTCAAGCGCACCTCCAAATTCATGGCTCATGATGAGCACAACCTCTGTAACATTGGTGACAAAGTTTGTAACATGAACTCATCAATCTAATTGGCTTATTGTTCATCACTTCAATTATTGTGCCTCTTGTTCTCATCACTTAATTTGTTCCCTTGTTTTGATAAAAAAAACGAGTAAATCTATTGATTTTTCCTGTTGTTTAGGTTCGATTGGATTCTTCTAGGCCATTGAGCAAGCGTAAACATTGGATTGTTGCTGAAATTCTTAAGAAGGCACGGATATATGTTCCACCCTCCACCCCAATGACCAACAATATTAGCTCCAGCTCTGAAGCACCTGCTTCATAAATTGGCTCAAGGTCTGAATGTATGAATTTAATTCACCCTCTGAATGCATCCCATCAGGATTGTTTGCTGTTAAGGATTTTTATTATTTCCGATACTAGTGGAAAAGGTTACACTTTTGTGGACATGTCAATTTTGGCATCACATGTTTCTACAGGTTCCCTGTTTCCTTGTTGCCCTTTTTGTACAATTCTTACTTTACTCATTTATATTACCAAGCCTTTGATTCTAGCCATCCTTCAAATCCATAAGTCCTTACATATTCATATGGGATAATTTTTTATACAAACACATGAAATATATTTTTGATGGGTCATGAATGTGTTTAATTATGTAGTGGGCATTTTCACCTTCCTGTGCTCCTTTCTCCCCAACTCCAACAATAAAGAAAAACTTGTGACTTATGAGTATGGTTTGTCATTTTTCTGTTTTCTCCTTGCTATGTTGGTCAAATATCTGCATCATCCAATGGTATGTGACGTTTGCATACAAAGCATGTTAATGGTAAACCGTTGTCGAGGGCAATCTATGAAACACTAATACTATAATTTGCTTCCTATATTTTATATGATTCTAGTGCCATTGGATTCTTACACCAATACTTATTTGTAAAGTATCCTCCAAATCTTTAAAAAAGTTGTGCAAATCCAATACAACTACAATGAGACATGAAAACATGCATAACATAAAAACCCAGAAGCATTTTCTCTTGGTATACAAAATTGAAATTGTCATAATTTTAATGAAGGAATGAGGTTGATTCTATTTGTGGACAATAGGAAGTGAATTATAATGACAATGATCTATAATTTTTATTTTCCTTTTAGTAAGGCTTAAGAAGTATGCCCTTAATTTGCATTTGTAGATTTACAATCATTAATTTATTATGAATTTTTATTGCATATCTATATAAGTAACTTTAATGTGTTATAACTAATATATTTTCAAAAAAATCGTATGACAGTATCCTATATTTATGTATCTGTGCATATGAGGAAATAGATACAAGAAGTGGTTGTGTGTATAGAGTTCGCAGGAAGCTTTGTGCTTACTCAAACATAGAAATGACTCCGTCTATATTATAAATACTCTTTCTTAGGCACTATGAATTTGAACAGTGCAGATAGTAATAGAGAATATTACCTACTTCGCTGCACAAACTATGCCCGCTCAAGTAAAAAGCTTGGATTTTTAGATGGCCATCATTTCTTATTATTGTCTACATTGGATTAAAGACTGTCTTTGAAACGCTACCCCTCACAGTAGAGGCAGTCTCAGAAATTTCCAAGATTACTAACAATTCTGATTGATGGAATGTTACTGAAATTGTGTCATTGTGTCTTCTCTTTGAGACATTAAGTGAGCACAAAGCCATAGATTTCTCAAAATTAACTTTGAGAAACTTGACAGAATGGCTATAGGGCATGTGTAAAGCTAAAGACAATGTTTATAGTCTTACTAAAACACAACGACATCATCACCGGAGAGATTCCAAGGCCTAGCACAAAATGAAATGGTAGCCACTGTCAACTCTTTGCTTGACCAAAAGATATGGTTGGCAAAACTGCGTCCGCCCCAGGCCCGTCTGTCAGTCCTGGGTAGGGATAACTTATTGGGTCAGTTTGTCCCATCTTTAGCATGTCAAAATCGGGATGTGTTAGGTTGATCCACTATAGTCATGATGTTCATGTTAATAGACGGATTGGCGGGTTGGTTGACCGGTCATAATTAAAAAATAAATTAATTTATTTTTTTAAATTAAAATTTTTAATAAATTTAATAATAAGATTATTATTTGTTCGATAATTATTTAACACGTATATTTCAAGTTAATAATATAAATCAACATATTATTTTAAGAAATTATAATTTAGAATAATATAAAATTTATATAATAATAAATAATAACAAATATATATATATATAAATAATGTCAAAACTTGTAAAATTTATATTTTTTATATTACAAAATTTAAATATCTATATCTTTTTTATTTGAGAAAATTTTATATTGTTTTTTCTTTGAGTAATTGTTACACTTTTAATTCAAATCATAATGATAAGAATAATCGGTACTTATGATGAACAAGGAGGAGATGATGAGGAAGAGAAGTTTGTGTTTGAGTAAGAAGGATATTTCTTATAACGAGTGAGAGTGATACTTTTTTAATTTTCTTTTTACAATTTTTACTGTATTACAACAAAAAAATATTAATTAAGCGGGCTACGAGCTAGCCCGATGGGTTGGCGGACTACGGGCTAGCCCGATGGATTGACAGACTTAGGCAGAAAGGGCTGACAGGCTAAAAATACCAATTTGTCTTACCATATTCTAGCGGACTGGTGAGCTAATTGGTTTTACTATCCTTAATCCTGGGTTTACGTCTTACCTTGGCTCAACTTGCCGGACTGATTGCTAATCTTATTTTTTATTAGCACTAAAATTAATTTATTCAAATTATAATTTAAAATATTATATTTTGTATGGTATTTGAAAGATGTACATATGTAATAAAAATATATTTTAAATTATGAACATTTTCAAATTAAGTTTCAATTATTGTTTATAATTGAATAATTTAATATGGAATAGTAATATTCTTTTCCATTTTTAATTAAAAATGATTTAAAAAAATAGACAATTATATATATATATATATATATATATATATATATATATATATATATATATATATTATAAAAAATTGTCAAGCAAACCTATTAGCTTGTCCTTTAGGATAGATTAGGGTCTTCAAACTACGTGGTTATGACAGTCAATTTGTCCTGGTCTATCTCTGATGGAGCAATGATAGGTTAACTAAACTCAGAATGAGCTAATCTATTTTGTTACCCTCAACCCCTATCGAAAAGGTTAATTTTTTCATACATGTAACTAAGGAGACAAGGAGGGGAATAAGATCATTTGTTAGGGACCTTTTGAAAGCAAGAAGCTCTCCATCTTATTCTCATTATATAAAGCAATTTATTCATTTAAGCCAAACACATTCAGTATCGGATCATCTGTTATGGGATGTTAGGGTTTTATTTATAGACCTATAGACGGTTAATCCAACGTTCTTTTGTTAGTAATGGTTGTTATATGTTAAGCTATAAGTGATCGTAGACTCGTAATGTTTATTCACCCAGTTACTCAAATAGCGATAGCTCTTTACAATTTAGGGAAGTTAAGGCTACGTAAGGTTCGTGTGTTAGCAAATATGGACTTCACTTAGGGGATATTTTTTTACACAAGTTTCATCATCACAAATTATATTTTAGTCCTCCCAAGATTTCTAAAAATATAAAACAATATTGAAATGATTCTTGAGCCAAACTATAATACATCAAGATAAAATCTATTTTGATGTCATTTTTAATTATCTAAATGCAAACTAAAAAAAAGATGGTATATAGGTGGTCCAGATCGTAGGTAGAACCATGTTTTCGTTCTAGCCTTAACAGGAACTTATTCCCTCCTTTAGTGATTCCCGTATGTGAAATTGGGGTTTTAGTTTGTGATAAAATAAGGAAATATTTTACGAGACTTGGTCTTCGTGTTGAAATTGAAATGATTGCACATGGAATTCGTTTATTCCTACTCATTCAACACATTCTATCATCCATTCCCAAATCCCCTATAATCATGGATCCAATTATGATGACCTTCATGGCACATGCTGCATCTTCAGGGAGTTGACATTTTTAAAGTAACATTGCGATCCATTAGTATTAAAACTAGCTTCATACCAAACATTCTACGTGAACTATGATTCCATTTGCAGATCGGAAAACTGATGAATTCTGGTTCAGGATGGATTTGAAAAAAATCCAAGCTGCAAAGGTAATGGGGAAGGTAGGCGAATTGGAAATGCAGAGTGAGAATCGTTTGAAGTCTGAATAAATCAATAGTACTAACTTGAGGTACATATGCTATGTGCACATGGTGCATTAATAACCCATACACATCAAGTTGCACGTTGACCTTTCTCAACACATTAATGTTTTGCTCCTCAGGCAAAATAGTTTATGGCAACGTATTAATACAGAAAGACAATTCTGAGTTTTTGTTGGCTCTGGATTTATTTCCACAGTAACACTGCATCTATATCACATGATTTTTATTTTGGTTCTGCTGTTCATGTTCAAATGAAAGGCAAAACTCTCAAATAGATGACAGAACTACTCGGTTTAGTGACAGAACAAGTGTAACAGTTTGTTTTGAGTTCATTTATTAAGGTGCGGGACCTATGTTCCTGATGTAATTTCTGTTTGAGATAATTTGCTGGTTTTTGTAGTTGGAATTCATTTGGTACCAACTATATCCCTTGACTACAAAGAAAAGCTTTTTATTAATTTATTTTCTTTCTTAAAGGGTGTTAATTATTCTTTATGTGCCAATTTAAGCTGAAATAGGGGAAGATATGATTGGGCATGCATAAAGTTCTTCCATCTTTTGCCAATGCAAATCATTCCTGAAATTATACTTACAATAAATACTGAAAACAAATTGCATTATAGTTCGTGTGGCTACTATCTTCTATGTTGTAGCTTCTAAGTTTGTTTTGCATGATTGAGAAGTAGATGCAATTATCACGTATAGAGTTTCATTCAAAGAATAAATAATTACAGCAAAATGGGTCTTTCTGTTGTACCAATGAAGAGGAATGGAAAATAAATGTGAGGTACAAACCAGAGTTTAATCTTTCATGTAGGTGTAATGTAACCCTGCAATTATGAACTTCAACGAGTGGTGTTTGGTTGGAGTGCTTCAAGTTTTGCGAAATCTTCATGGCAACAACAGATCATGATGACACGAAGAGATAATAATGACGTCGAACTCATACTTGTCCACTGCATCTATTATTACTAAACATTTTTTACCCAAAAATAAATAAATCTAATGATTCTTGATTTATCAACAGGAAAATTTAACAAGGAAAGTTGAATTTGTTGAAACTTAGGATAAATTGCTAAAATTGAAACACATGAGACATACAAGTAATGCAATATTACAAGTATTTGATCATATTCAACTATGGTACACAAAATGGTTAAAAAAAAAAAGTTCACAAAGAAACACAGTAAACAAATAAGAACTTTCAAAGAATTGATTTTTCACATGCAACAAGTTTTGTGTGAATAAAAACTTGTCTTCTTTGTTGTTATAATACACTTTTTAATTAAAAATAAAATAAAATTAAGACCCCACAAGTTGAGCACAATCATGAACAGCATTTCAACAACATCACCAACTCAAACAAATTCCAAATCCAATGATCCAATTTCAAGTTGTACCCAAATGGATGAGACGAGATTCTCTCTTCCTCTCCCTGTTAGCAATTGCTTCTCTTTCACTTCACTTCATACACTAATCCTCTGTTCTCTCTTTCTTCTCTGTTTTCTTTCTCTATCTTTTTGGCGGGAAATGGACCCCACCAAATTAAAATCTCGTCCTCTCTCCCATTTCTCTCATAAATACAACTACCTTTCTTTCTTTTTTTCTTGCTCCTCAACTAAACCTTCTTCTGCATTCGCACTCTCCAAGACTGTAACCGTACCATTCTCTATCTCTTCCCAAATAACGCATTCTAAATGACCGTTACACTCTTCATCTTTCTCCTCTTCTTCTTTCGCCCTGTCGTATCTCTCTCCTCCGACGGCATCGCGCTTCTCACTCTAAAATCGGCGGTGGATGCATCCGGCGCCGCAGCGTTCTCCGACTGGAATGACGCCGACGCCACGCCGTGTCGGTGGTCCGGCATCACGTGCACGAACATCTCCGGCCAGACGGAGCCGCGCGTCGTCGGCGTCGCGCTCTCCGGTAAGGGTCTCCGCGGCTACCTCCCGTCGGAGCTCGGTACGCTGCTCTACCTCCGTCGTCTCAACCTCCACACCAACGCCCTCAGCGGCGCCATCCCGGCGCAGCTCTTCAACGCCACAGCACTCCACAGCGTATTCCTCCACGGTAACAACCTCTCTGGCTCCCTACCTCCCTCCGTTTTCACCCTCCCTCGCCTCGAAAACCTCGACCTCTCCGATAATTCCCTCTCCGGCGCCTTCCCCGACACGCTCCGAAACTGTTCCCAGCTCCAGCGACTAGTCCTAGCCCGGAACAAATTCTCCGGCGCCATTCCGGCGAGTCCCTGGCCGGAACTGAAAAACCTTGTCCAGCTCGACCTGTCATCGAACCTTCTTGAAGGTTCGATTCCGGACCAACTCGGTGAGCTTAAAACCCTGTCCGGAACCCTAAACCTCTCGTTCAATCATTTATCTGGTAAAATTCCAAAATCTCTAGGGAATTTGCCTGTTACCGTGAGTTTCGATCTTCGGAACAATGATTTGAGCGGTGAGATTCCCCAGACGGGGTCGTTTTCGAACCAGGGCCCCACCGCGTTTCTCAACAATCCGAACCTATGCGGGTTTCCTTTGCAGAACCCATGCGCAGGTTCGGCACCGAGCGAACTGGGCCGTGGTCCCAGTTCTCGTGGACCGGCGGCGCACCGATCTGAGAAGGGGCTGAGCCCCGGTTTGATTGTTTTGATCTCGGTGGCGGATGCTGCCGGAGTGGCCTTGATTGGGCTTGTGCTGGTGTATGTTTATTGGAAGAGGAAGGGCAAGTCCAATGGGTGTAGTTGTACTTTGAAGAGGAAGTTTGGTGGGGAGAATGAGAAAGCTAGTTTGTGTTGTTGGTGTAATGGGGTGAAGAGTGATGATTCTGAGCTGGAGGATGGGGAGAAGAGAGAGGGGGAGGGAGGGAAAGGTGAAGGGGAGTTGGTGGCCATTGATAAGGGTTTTAATTTCGAGCTTGATGAGTTGTTGAGGGCTTCGGCTTATGTGTTGGGAAAGAGTGGGTTGGGGATTGTGTATAAGGTGGTCCTGGGAAATGGGGTACCTGTGGCTGTGAGGAGATTGGGGGAGGGTGGGGAACAGAGGTATAAGGAGTTTGCTGCTGAGGTTCAAGCCATTGGCAAAGTGAAGCATCCCAACATTGTGAAGTTGAGAGCATATTATTGGGCTCCTGATGAAAAGCTTTTGATCAGTGATTTCATCTCCAATGGCAATTTGGCCACTGCCCTTAGAGGTGAGTGAGTTCTTACACATTCTGTTCGTGTTTTCATTTTTGCCTTTTCTTCAGGATCAATGATTTTGTTTGGGGCAATTTTTTAGTACAGTGATGCTTATTCCCACATACACAGACAAAAATGAGACGTCTAGTAATTAGAGTTGCATAATAATAGTAACACAAAAACTAATAATGATAGCAGATAATAATTGGTTGAATGTGGATCCTAGGGAACTCAAAATAAAGAAAATAAGAAGTCTTTTTTTTTACTCCATACTCAATTTATTTATTCAGTTTGGTTACTATCAAATGAGTGTTATTTTACCAATAAAGTTTTTTTTTTTTTTAAAGAGTGAGAATTACTTAGGCCCTGACCATTTAACCATTCCAGCCTTCCCACCTATCTCACAAAAGTTGGTACTAAATTTTATATTAATCCATATAATTTAATATTTTAATATAAAGCGATAAGTAAAGTTTTTGAAAATAGTTAATATAGAATTCTCATTAATTGGACTAATGAAAATATATTAGTCTAAAGTTTAACACTAGCTTACTGTATTAGCAACTTTGGGCACTATTACCATCGAAGTATAATTTTTTTTATCACCAAGGTAAGAATATATCCTTTTCTTAATGATTTAAACTAATCGATGAGTTGTCATTCCATAAAGCTGATTAATAAACCTGTGAACTTATTCTCATATTTTTGTTTTCATGAGATAAAAGAGTCATTTAACTGTGCAAACGAGGTTCTGTGGGATGTTATGTTCTTTACTTTTCACTGATTAGATTAATTGTGGTCCTTCTTAATTCAGCCAGAAAAAGAAAAAGTCCTTTCTAGAGAAGGCTTGTTATCAGTATAAATTTAACATATTTTTTAAATTATAATAAATTAAATAAGCTAGTTTCACTTTCAGGGAAACTTGAAAGAAATTGGGTTTTGAGTTCTGCTGTTTCCGATTGTTTTCATTCTGTGTGAATTTGTTTTCTGCTAGAATAATAGAATTGTCGTTTCTGCTTTAGATTTGTGGGACAATGGGACCAAAGCGGTAGGTTAACTGGTCCAATGTGCAAATATTGAATTTTAACTTGTCTTGGTACAAGTAAAGAAATGACATTACATTTAATTTATTTGAGGGATGAGTGTGTGGCTAGATCAGCACTTTAGTTAGATGATTATTATTATTAATAAGGAGCGTTGGATCCAAGAAAGTGTTTGGTGAGACAACAGTGCTAATGTTAATGACCTCTCTTTGGGGACATCCGACGAGAAAGTAAGACATTCACCATGTGTCTGGGAAATGTGATGGCAGTGGCACTCATGTTGGGGACCATGAGCTTCTAGACCTTTAGCTCATTTGCTGCACATGGGCCACTTAACAAACCCAAACTTTAGGTGGAAAGTTGCTGTTTCACGGTTACAACTCATTTCCGAAGTGCTGTGTCTGTTTGACTTTAATTTTATTTTAGTTGTTTGGATATCCTTGTTATACGTATACTTCCAGTTTCTCAGTTATCACAAACTCCGTGGACAGTATCTCTTAAAGTAAGCTTTGTACAGAGTCTTCTGTTTGTGGAATTGTAGGCCAGAAAGAACTTTCAAGTTTGTGCCACTTTTGTGCCTTTATTTCATGCAACTAAAGTTTTTTTTTTTTTTTTTTTGGTGGTTGAACTTCCTTGTTCTTAGACTCCAAGTGGAAAACTTTACTTTTCCTTGTTCCATAACTTTCCTTTTGGCTAAACTTTCTTACTTGATTACCCAGTCCCTTCCCGAACTGTTTTCCTACCCTCCAATCTTCATTCTTCTATCGTACTTACGTTTGATTGTTGTAAGGAAAAGGCGAACACAAATTAATAATTTTTTTCTTACAGAATATGTGTTATATGGGATGTAGATAATCCAACCAATAGTTCATAATTTTTGTATTTGAAATTATTTTATTTTTTAGTGTACAAGAGAACAGTGAGTTTAAACTTACGAGTCTCATTGTAAACTTTCCGCCACTATCGTAGTGGGTATATTTGAAATTATCTAGAAAAATATGTAAAATTGCTATTTTTGACTTTACCTCAAGAAGATATGTCAATCTATTATGAAGTTTGCTTAAATTCCTTTTTGTGTCAACAACATAAATTTCTAAGTGCAATAAAAAATAACTTGTCATCCTTTGCAGTCTACACTAGATTCATAATCTTCCGTATACAAATTTTCGGTAAAAGCAGTTCATATTTATCTACTTTTTTATGCAGGAAGAAATGGTCAACCATCTCCGAATTTTTCATGGACAAACAGGCTAAAGATCATCAGAGGAACAGCCAGGGGTTTGGCCTATCTCCATGAATGCAGTCCAAGAAAATTTGTTCATGGTGACATCAAACCTTCCAACATCCTCCTTGACACAGACTTCCAACCCCACATTTCTGATTTTGGTCTTAACAGACTGATCAGCATAACAGGTAACAACCCATCCTCTGGTGGCTTTATGGGAGGAGCTCTTCCTTACTTGAAGTCATCACAAACAGAGCGAACTAACAACTACAAAGCCCCAGAGGCTCGAGTTCCCGGTTGCAGACCCACCCAGAAATGGGATGTATATTCATTTGGAGTAGTATTACTTGAATTGCTTACTGGAAAGTCCCCAGATTCTTCTCCGGCCACATCGACTTCCATTGAAGTCCTGGACTTGGTGAGGTGGGTTAGGAAAGGGTTTGAACAAGAAAGTCCACTGTCTGAAATGGTTGATCCGTCGATGCTCCATGAAGTGCATGCCAAGAAAGAGGTATTAGCTGTGTTTCATGTGGCACTGCAATGCACTGAGGGAGATCCTGAGGTCAGGCCTAGAATGAAAACCGTCTCTGAAAATCTTGAAAGAATTGGATGATAAGATTTTAACGTTTACCAGCTGAAAGTAGTGCACCTGAGACTGGAATTTCAGATACTCAATGAAGATGCATGCATTTGAGCCCCATAGTGCATTTTTTTTGCGGTAGCACTCGGAAAATTTTCTTGTGGGGGGCATCAAGATGGCGTTACAAATGCTTTTTTTATCTCCAACTACGCTCTCAGGCCCCACTGTGTTTTCAAGTTAAAGCAATTTTTTGACGGAGGTCTCATCTTCATTATTTTTTGGGCAAATCAAGGCAGCTCATAGATATATTTAAATTTTGTTCTGCCTCATTCTATCATGATTCTGATCACAATAATTTCACAATATCATGCGTTATTTACATGGGTTGGCAAGTTAAGATGCAATCATGTGTATAATAAAATTAATTCACCTCTCTGTTATCATTCTTCTTCGGTGTTCTGAAGATTGATAGCATTCAAGTTAGTTCTTACCATTTGCCGGTGTGAAAACAACGTTGAAAGTTAACGGCACGTACTGAGACTGAATTTGTAATTTAATTAACTAAAAAAATTGTTTACAAAAGTTTTTTATTCAAGACAACAGTAACACTAGTCCACACTCCTTTTTTCCAGTTAGATAAATAAGCATGATTTTGCACTTGCAAATAAAAGTAGCCCTTGTGTTGTGAACACACTTAAATTCAACACAGATATCATATGCTTTAAATCAAAATCAATTCATCAATTTAGACTCAGACATTTATACTCATTTTCAGGTCAAATATGCCTACAGAACCTAAAAGCTAGTTAGTTATTTTTGCCTTAATATAAGACAATGTATAACCAACCACGATCTTTGACCCAGACTTTTTTTTAATTTATTTATTAAGATACTTAGGTTGTGTTTGGAGTGGATTTGAGGAATGAAAAGTAAAAAGATAGTAAAAAGTAAGGTTATTTGTACTGAGGAAAAAATGGTGAAAAAAAAAATGATTGAAAAGATTATATAAGATAATACTGATGTGGTTGAATAAAAAAATAAAAATAATGTGTATTGACTAAAATATCCTTATTATTAATTTAAGTAAAATAAGTATAAATTAGAATTGTGATATAATTTAATATAAAGTAATTAATTTATATTGTAGATACAAAATTACATATATTAAAATATAAATTATAAAAATAACTTATGATATCTTATAAAAATATTTAAATTTTACTTTTTATAATTATAATAATTTTTAAAATTGTAAAAATTTGTTTTAAAAAAGTTTCATTTGATTTTGTTATCATGTTTTTCAAGTTAACTTCTTTTCTATAATTAATGAATTTATGTTACAAACCTATCATTTTGTCATTCCAACAATCTCTGGTCTACTTCATTCACAAATAATTTGTCATTGTCTATTACACATATTACACATAAAAGTGTGGGCAAAATATAACATGAACAATATTATACTCTTTGATGTTTCAAAATAATAACGAGGTTTTGTAACACTTGTTATATTAAGGATTTTTTTTTCAAAACCCCACAAGTTTTTTCAATTGCATTTCTTAATAAAAAATTACAATTATTAAATAATTTTTGGGAGTTTACAATATTATTTTATGAATACTTTTTTAGGTAGTACCTAACTCGTTGATATAAAGTAATAATTTGAGTTTTTAACATGAACTTACCTAATAATATTTAACTGCGAGAAAATAAAAGTATTTAGTAATATCAATTAACCCTTGACGTTAATGAATAAATATTAAGCTTCATGAATTCTATATATTCAAGAATGAATCCTCTTTTGTTAAGACACATTTTAAAATCATATAATCAATAAAGTTTATTTTCATCCTACCAGGACACATGTTAATTTCATGTCGAAATTACAAACTTCAAAAATATTTTGGATGGTCCAATTTTTTCTACCATGAAAATGAGGGACATCTAATCGTGGTACCTTAATTCCAGCATGGGTTTCATCAATTGTTTCTAGACAATTCTTAAGATAGGGGTAAAATCTAGGATTGTTAAATATTTTTTATTACACTTCCCTTTCTAAGGATTGAACCAATTTTTTTTTCTCCAATTCAATGATGACACTCGTCAAGTTATGAAGATGTCAACTAATAATCTCACCCAATTGATGAAAAAAAAATGACATAGTTCAATTTTTAACATTATGTACTAAGATGCTAAAAATTTAGTCACTTTTTCCTCTGTTGTTGATCTATATGCACCTTTTACCATATCAATTGATCTTAACTGTTGACACAATTATTAAAAGCCTCAAGTCTCATGTGAATATATCTAAATATTATTTTAAATGTATAAGCTACGACATCAACTCATATTGACCATGATCTTTTTCAAGATTTAACAAGTTAACGTTGCTAGTATTAGACATCATATCTAACATATATAATTCATAAGAAACACTATATACATATCGATAGTGTCCAACTTTCATATGTTGTTGTATCTATTCTTGAGCATGACATATTATGTTCATATCCATCCTTACACCATTAGTACTTATTTATTATTCGTCTTCTAATTTCATATCATTTTTGTTTCCACTTTCTACTTGTAGAACCATTTCTATGTAGAGAAAAATATTTTACTTTAATTATTTGTACCATATTATAGATAATGATAATAACAAAATTATCATTAAATATTATATTAATTTGTATATCTTAAACAAATAATTAAATCTTAAATTAAAAATAATTTAATTGAGTAAATAATTATACCCTAAAATTAATAAAAGATATTTATTATAGTTTTAATATTTTTTTCATATTAAAATTATTTATACTTCCAATAATTCTTATAATTACTTGCTTTTATATGTTATCAAATTTTTATAATTATTTACATAATAAATTAACCCTACTCTTAATATTTACCTATAAAATATTTTTATGATTATTTTCTTAAAATTTTATTTATACAATTATTTGTAGTTCCTCATAAATAATTATCTAATTTTTATCATTATTTATTATTAATTTATTAACTTCGCTATGAATAATAACTTTAAAAATTTTCATAAGGTTATTTCCAACCATTTTTTTTGTTTCAATTCCTCTTATAATTACTTACCTAAAAATACATGTATAATTTTTTCAATAATTATATCAAACATATTTTTATAATTATATTCCTTACAATTATTTTTACAATAAATATTTTTACAATTATCTCAATTATATTTTTACATGCAAATACTTACAATACATCAATTACAACTAGTGTTTTTCTATAATTGCAACAATGACAAAACTTATAATCAATTCAAAGAACAATTCAACAGTAAAGTCATGATACAAATACTTTTGCATCTTAAATGACTCAAATCAACAAAAAATTGTAGGAGAAAAAGGATAAAAATTTGACTGGCGGTGGGTTGATGGTGGAGAAAAAAAAGACCTTTGACAATTATGTGATTCTTCTTTGTCAACCTTAATGACAATTTTAAGGGTGAGACTAGAGGAGTGAACATGCAATGCATATAATTTAGCCAATGAATCTATTTATAGTTGAATACAAATTGTTCACGGCAACATTCGACGGGTGAATGTCAACATTCTTTCAATGCAGATGACCCGTCACAGTAGTGTCTCGGTCTCGAGTGCAAACGTGTGTTTACAACAAATATTGTAGTTATACCTTCTATATATGTTCTTCATTGCTGAAATATACAATGTCTTGATACAAAGGATTCTTAAAATAGTGTAAAGTGAGAATCTTTACATATACACATGTGTAATAATAAGATTGTTATCTTTTTGGGTGGGTTCAGAAGATTGTTATTTGGTATTTAATATTTAATTGTTCCTCAATAGTACCGAAAATGGAAACGATTTTGACTTAAATTTTAATGGGCTTTGATTTGCAAATATCTATAACATCTTAGAAGAAGTGACTAAATTAAATTCTTTCTCAACAATCTAAAATCACTCTTTTTTATTCTCTATACTTTTTTTCTTAACTTCTTATTTCTTTAAACCTATCATTTTCATCTAATTTTTAATATTTTTACAATATATTTATTATAATTTTAGTTATATAAAAATAAATATTTCATTTTCTTGTTTTATATATAAATTTTTATATATAAAAAAACTGAATGAAGCCAAAATATACGACTTATTATATAGTAGTACTGGCAAAGGTACTGGCAAAACCTAGTTGTGACCCCCACCAACCTAGATATTTCTGACCAAAGAAATTCACACAACCGTTAACTTCAAAAAATAATAAAAATACCAAATAAAATTAGAAATTAGAATAAAAATCAGAGATATTGTTATGCTTCGTTTGGCATTTCCATTCTCATTGATTCATTTCTGATTCTCAGGCTTCAGAGTGAGAAATGGCGTTTTCTCTCTCTACCTCTTTCTTTTGCACACACTCTTTCAAATCCACGACGTTGAAACTGAAACCTCCCACTGAGCCTCATTGCTTCGCGCGTCTTCGAGTTCCAACCACAGCTTCTTCCCGAAACGACAATGCCAACACTGATTCCGTTGAAACTCCCTTACTCCAACATTCTTCCTCTAAACAGCGTCATGATTCATCTTCTTCTCTGCTTCGTCGTTTCAAGTACTCTTTGATCCTTTTAGAACTTGTTTTTCTCTTCTGCAAGATTTGTTTTGGGTTTAAGTTTGAAGTTGATATCACGTTTTTATTCTCTAGAATTTAGGTCTGATTGTATATACTTCTCTCTCTGATGACTTTTAGTCGAAGATAATGGGAAGTAAAAATAAACCAAATTTCTCAGGGAACTAAAATTAACTATTCATAGTCTATAAACAAAAACAAGTTTTTTAGTTGTTTAAGATAATTAAAATGCCTATGTCATATTTTCTTTCTATTTCCCATATAATTAATTTAAATACTTTGTAATCTAATTATCCAATTATATAAAATATTGTCTTGTAAGATAGATAAGATTGTTCACTTTTAAAACAACTACTTTAAAATTTGCATGTATAGTTACTTCCAGTTGATTGATAGTGAAAAATATTCATATGAAATTGAACTTTTTAATATATTTATTTATAATTTGAGGGTTTGGAGTTTGTTTCTTGGGTTTTGGGCAGCACTGGGGTGGCTTAAATTCGATGAATTGTGGTTTATGGTTTGTTTGAGGTTTTCGATGCGTAAAATGGATTTTATATTGATTTACGAGTTTTTTGTTTGTTTGTTTACATATTTGGGATTTTGAAGGTTGAAGCTTGGGCTTTGATAAGGAATGGGTGGGTTAAATTCGATGAATTTGTCGTCTATGCTTTGTTTGAATTTAATTTTATGCATATATATTTACTTTGAAGTTTGTTTATTGGGTCATGAACAGTAACAGCTGGTTTAAATTTGATGAACTTGGGATGGAGATAGTGCTCATTGCCCTGCCTGCTGCTTTGGCTTTGGCGGCCGATCCTATTGCCTCTTTGATTGACACGGCGTTTGTTGGCCACATAGGTACTCATGTGGAAATGGATTTTATGATCTGAGCTTTACATAAACTTGGGGAAAGAAAAAAACGAATAATGTGTTACCTGGCTGCAGCTTTTTACTTCAGTTTTTCTGTTGTCGTTTTACTACTACTGATTACAAATTTACAAAATCCCATATTTGTTTCCCGTATTTAGACTAGAAATGATGAGAACAATTTAAATGTTAGTCATTTCTTATACAAATCTTCAAAACCAAGAAGCAGAGTAAAAACAATGTCATTTTGTAATAATTACACAAAGCGCTTTCTAAAACCAAGCATACCTTCTACTCGTGGTACCCTTGTTGAAGAGAGAATTCTCCCTTAGTCAGATTCCTCTATGCAGGGGCAGTTGAGTTGGCTGCAGTTGGGGTTTCAGCTTCTGTGTTTAACCTTGTGTCAAAAGCATTCAATGTTCCTTTACTTAATATTACTACATCATTTGTTGCGGAGGAGCAGGCACTGATTAGCAAGGAAGAAGAGTCAAAAGATGGAAATGGTAGGTATCACAAAGTTTTAGTAGAATGTCTACTTTTCCTGGACATAGTCGTAAATATGTTTTGTTCAGATGTATCTACGAAGTGTTTTGATCTCACGTGGGTGTTATCATGATTTCTCAGGCCAGTACCAAAGCAAGAAGCTCCTTCCTTCAGTGTCGACCTCTTTAGTACTTGCTGCAACTCTTGGAATTGCACAAACTGTGGCACTTACCCTTGGCTCTGGCATTCTTATGAATATCATGGGTATACCTGCTGTATGTCATACTTGGCCAATCATTGATCCATACATTGTCTCATATAAGTGATATTACGTTTCTTTATGTTATAATTTCTTCTGACTCTGCACTTTACTGGGCTAGACAAACCCACCCACTGAATACAAAGACAAGGAAATAAAAGGAAGAATCATTAGCTGTGAACACTTGAAGCACATTTATATACTCAGGTTTAGATCTAAATGTCTTTGGACAACCTCCTCGTGGCAAGATAAATCAATCGTGAAAAACATTTCAGGTTCAGCTAATATTTTGAATTTAAATATGAGGTCTGCTCTTGAACTTGTAACTAGGTTCTTGTAAACTTGTTTTATTACTTTTATGTTGTAGAATTCCAAATGATATTTTTTTATCCTACTCTTATAATTTAATGAGTCATCAGAATTTTGGAAAAAATAAAAACAAGTGTTTTGATATAGACTTCTGTTTTTTTTAAGAGAACTTTTAATTGGCATATGAAATGTGTTTGGGGTAGCACTTTTGTGTTCTGTGACAATTTGGAAAATTTTAAATAACAATGACATAATGTATTCGTTGTCTAACAGTTAATTATCCAAGATTAGTTTTGAGAAACATAATATTAACTATCAATATCAATATACAATTTTCCTTTGCATTCATCAGCTATCAGTCTTATGGTATGCGTAGCAAGTAAATTCCCATGTCCTGTTTTTTTTTTTTTTTTTTCATTTTGTTGGTTTAGGTGTCATGAAAATAAAGAAGAAAAGCATTTTTTGGCTTCTCTGCATTGGCACTTGGTTTTACGTAATTGGGTTTTACTTGTATAATCTTGTTCGCATCATTGATTCCATTTTATATGCTGTACAGGATTCTCCTATGCGTGGACCTGCTGAGCAGTTTCTTACATTGAGGGCCTTTGGTGCTCCAGCAATCGTGCTTGCATTAGCCGCACAAGGCACCTTTCGTGGGTTTTTGGATACCAAGACGCCTCTATATGCTGTAGGCATGAATTTCAGCAGCTTACTCTCCTTCTCTACTCATGTTACATATAAATCAAACTAAGTGACAAAGTATTCCTTTACCAACAGCACTTTCTCAATAATTTTAATTGACAATTCTGAATTATTTATTTATTTATAAATAGTTCATTTTTACAATAAATTATCACTTTATATGCCTTTGAGACAAGAAAAGATATAAAGTTTACATTATTTTAAATTTTAATTTATAAATAAGTACCCATTCACAAAGACGATCCATGGTAAAAGGTAAATATGTAATGGGGAATGCGTGACTCTGACGGTTTTATTTAAATTGCAAAATGCTCCATGCAACCTGTTACTGGTGATGTGTATTTGTGTACAAATAGCACTAGTAATCTAGTTTTACTTTATGTAAATAATGAAGGCTTGTTTTGGAATGTCAGGTGCGGGAAACTTTCTTAATGTCATATTGGATCCAATATTAATATTTCTTTTTGGCCTTGGAGTTAGTGGTGCTGCAGTAGCTACTGTGATCTCTGAGTACGTCAATGATGTGGTAAACTTATTATTATCTGTGCATTTTGCACACGTCCTTAATTCATTTGATCATATTTTAACCGAATTTCTCTGTGTGCACCAGATATTTAATAGCTTTCATTCTGCTATGGAAATTGAGTGGCAAAGTGCTGCTAATCTCTTCTGAATTTGATGGGAGAAAACTTTTTAGCTATCTGAAATCTGGTACGTACTTCAGAATTAAGTTCAATTGTTGCTTTGGCTGTCCTTTCCCTTCAATGAAAGTTGGTAATGACAATGAAATGATCAAAGTTGATTGATGCTGGAAAGCGGCCTTAATTATGGTCACTCCTAGCCTAACTTAGTCGTGGCATCTTTGGGGAGACTGCTCTAATTGCAACTTTAAGGATGATGGATTGATGTAATATCAACTAGAAATATGACTTACAAAAAGTTTGACAATTCTCACCTTCCAAATTGGTTTTTTGAGGTTTAGTTCGGTCCTTAGCCCAAATTTTAAGAATTGGAAAGATGATTTCTAGTTTCTGCTGCGTCTTTCCTAGACAAATTTCATCAATGTGTGATTGTAGATAAGAAATTTACTTCATCTTCACACGAGAGAATATATAATTTAACTCATTGAGTATCTCTATGATACCTTGTCTTTAGAATAAATCAACCAAGTGTGAATATGTGGATCGCATAAAGTTTTGGTTTTTGTTGATTTTATATCAAATTGTCATTTGCTTGCAACTCTCTGAGAGCTTTACTTTTTTCTGATAGGAACTTGGGTATTTTGGGGTGCCCAAGTCCCATATAAATTGGATGCTTGGTGGAGTATATGAGTGTTTGATTCTCCCTCCTAATAGCTAGCCTTAGAGAGTGGGTTTCTCAAGTGCTTGGGTACTTATCAATTGGTATTAGAGCTGGTCATCAGTGTTTCGGAAAGGGCTACATACGGAGGGTTCTGATCAACGAGGGAGTTCAATGAATTGTTAGAGACTGAAAGCCACCCAGTCGGTGGCTCTTAGGGGCAGTGCTATGATAGGAATTTGGGTATTATGGGGTGTCCAAGTCCCACATTAAGTAGTATGAGATGGTTGAGGGAGTATCTAAGTACCTGGTTCTCCTCCTTAATAGCTAAATTTTGAGATAAGTTCCTCAAGTGCTTGTGGATACTTGTCAGATTCTAATTGGATTTTATTGTGTCATGAACCAACTATCCTGAAAGGTTAAGTTGTTAAGTACGCATTGTATATTACATCTCTAACATGCATTGTATCTTTAGAATTGAAGCAGGATAATGCATTATCCCACCTACCATTTTTCAAAATTCAACTTTTTATTAGAGCTAGGGTGGCTAGCATTGAAAACAAAGACTTTGTACTCCATAATATTCTAAAAGTTTAAATTTTACATAAATGATTTGTGTTGCATCTCTTGCACTGTTTAATGACTAGAAAGTTGGAATGAGAGTTTTAAGAAACTATAAGAATATATTTTGTTCAACAAAAAACAAACAATATTCCTTATAGATCTTTAAATTTTGGTTCATAATATAAAAATGTCAGAATAAAGTTTTTTTTTTATCAAAAGTGCTTTACGCATGTAGTAGTGTTTCTTGGAAATCTAGTGCTGATGAATCAGAGGTGAGTTACTTATTTAAGAAAAAAGTTACAACTTTATTGAATAAAGTCCATTTTAAAAGGATATTATAATTATGTTGCCTTTGCCTCTTTTTTTTTTTTTTTTTTGTGGTGGAACAATTATGTTGCCTGTTAAAGGTGAAGTTGATGGCGTTTGTACTTTGGGCAGAACTTCTTTCTGTTCATACATGATAATCTATGGTTTTATATTTTGAGTAATAAAATACTAACTCTTTCCCTCCATATAAATCTCTATTGAGAAATTTGCTTGTCCCTTCAAATTGTCCTATATATGAGACTAATCAAATTGTCCCTTTACATTAATTATTTTTTTGACTAATATACATAATTACTCTACAATCTTTAAGTCAATTTATAATAAATGTTGTAAATTGTCTCTTTCTATCTAGAGAGGAGGAAGATAACTATTATTAATTAATAGCTGGAAAGTAATTAGGTGAAAAAAAGTGATATTTTAATTAGGGTATTTTGAAAAACATAATAATCTTAAAAAAATGATTGTTACTAACTGAATTAACTAATCTTCTTAATTCTTGTAAATTCGTTAATAGACTTTTACATATGGAGATGAAGGGAGTATGATTTCATTAGCTTAAAAATGTTTTGTTTGGTTAACAACTTCGATGACTGGACAGAATGCATTATGTGGTTAACTATTCATTTTGTAGGTGGTCTTCTTACTGCTAGGACTTTGGCTGTGTTTATAACTGTGACACTATCAACATCTGTGGCAGCTCAGCAGGGTCCTATACTTGTGGCTGGTCATCAAATTTGCATGCAAGCTTGGTTGTCTGTTTCTTTACTCACTGATGCTCTGGCACTTGCTGGTCAGGTTAGATAATTATTCTATTGCATTGGACTATAAATTGCATTTTGTTTGGATGATGCCAAGGTTGTACCAGTTTTTAATGATCAATACATATATCTCAAGGGCACTTCACCTCTCCGAGTTTCAAAATTGCATGAATTTAGAAGAATAAAATTTATAATGTCAAGTCCATTTTGGTGAACATTTGAGGGCTTTCCCTGACCATGAAACCAGACCAATCGGGTGCCAGTCCATTTTGTGATAAGCTTGATACTTTTCCATTTCGCAAGATACTAAAATGATATTAGTGAGAAAAAAGTATAATACTATACCATATTCTCCAACATGACCTAAAAGGAAGCAGTTGGCAAGCATTGGAGGAATTAACTCTAAAGTTTCAAATGATACAGATGATATGATCTATTATTAGTGGGATTCATATTACTATGTGATCCAAACTAACTATTTCAAAATTATTAGGTCTTTGAAATTTATTTGGCTGAAACTTACCAATCATGTTAAAGTGACATTTCTTTACAGGCACTTCTTGCGAGTAGTTACTCCCTGGGAAATTATAAGCAAGCACGCCTTGTTATATACAGAGTGATACAGGTTGTCACCATAAATTGCTTTCTTCTTTCTTTCATACCTTCTTTTGGTGAGATTGGAACTTATACTGACCCAGATTTCTTTTCTCCTACGCTATTTTACATGTGGAACAGATTGGTTTAGGAACAGGAATCAGTTTGTCTATGATCTTATTCTTTGGGTTTGGATCATTTTCTAGTTTATTCAGCACAGACTCGGAAGTTCTGGATGTTGCTCGGTCAGGTTTATTGGTAAGAAATCACAGTTTACAGAAAGTAACCTTCACTGACATTTTGTAGGCTTTGTATGCCACTTCCTAGCCTAGTTGGACTGGCTTTAAGAATCAGACATTCAGCCTGACGGAAGTGGGTCTGACTGGGCAAGTCATGAGTACCAACTCCAAATTAAAATCCTTCGTTTGACATAGAATATTTACTAGAAAAGGAGTTCATTCAGGAAAGTAGAAGAATGCATTTCATATGGATGTCTGTTTCTATTGTTTTTTCTGTTTTTTTTTGGTCTGATTGTTCTTCCTCTAGTGTGAATATAGGTTGAAAGCTAATGTTTTGGTATCAGAATTTTTGTGCTTGATGGGTGTTTAAGCCATGGTAACCTTTTAATAGAACTAATAAATATTCATTATATCCCGTGCTAAAAGTACATTCTTTCTGTGGAAGCATGTATATACATACATAAGCATTTGGAATCTAAAATTTAGTTACATATGCAGTTCGTTGCTGGATCTCAACCAGTGAATGCTTTGGCATTTGTTATTGACGGGCTTTATTATGGGGTATCAGACTTTGGATATGCTGCTTACTCAATGGTATTTGCCTAGTTCAATGATTGAAAGATAGTTACTCATTCCATGTGATTTTTTTCACTTAACTCATTTCCTTGTGTCCGTTTCTTTTACTTTTGGCTTTTGTTTTGGGTAGTTGCTAGTTGGACTAGTTTCTTCAACTTTCCTTCTGGTGGCTGCTCCAGTAGGGCTTCCTGGAGTCTGGGCTGGATTGTTTATCTTCATGGCCTTGCGTGTTCTAGCTGGAGTTTGGAGGTGAAGTATTTAATTAATTTTGAAGATGATAGTTGGGAAAATTCATATTGGTGTATTATGATCCGTTGTCCTGCTACTTATTCAATTCCTAGCTCAAAGAACAATGATACAGGACATGTTGGATGAATCTGATTTGACATCAAGTTGCATTTTTACTTTTTGTTCTCTCCTATCTTGGTTATCTTATTGGGGGAGAGTAGGGTACTTAATGGATAACATGAGGAAGATTTTCTTAGGATTTTTATTGAGTTAATATTTTTCTTTTCTTAAGGTTGAGCAGCAAAAGTGGGCCTTGGGATACAATCTGGTATAAAGATGGATCAGAAAATTGACTATCATGCATTCAAAGTCATGTATTCAGTACTCAGAAGTTTCATCATAACTCACTATGTTAAAAAGCCGTTTCAGAATGCTGAGGACATGACCTGTTGATTTTCAAGAGCTCTAATATGCAGTCTCTAAATCCTTGCAATCAAAGAGAATCCAGCATGACAGCAGGACTATGGTAAATTATAAAAATGTCGCGGCAATTGCTGCATACCGATTGCCAAAATCTCGCTGGTACAAGTAAATACTGAATGGCCTATAGTTGAATGACCATCTTACAAGCCAAGACGACTCTGGCTTTTGTTGAAAATTTGTATTTATTAAGAAATTGTGCAGAATTTTGTATATTTTCATTGGTAAAGGCTGCAATGGTGAAAATAAGGACTCTGACTTGTCCGTTGCTGCTATTCAAGTTAGGTGTGCACTTTGTAGTATGTACATTTTTGTTTATAGTTATGACGTTAACGGTTATCATTGATCTTCAAGCAATTAATATTATTGATCTTCAAGCAATTAATATTATTATCCATTCAGTGATATTTGCTGTTAACGATTTCACTTACCTCTGGTTAATTTGTCTTTCATTATGACTTATTTTTATTAATCAACATCAGTGAGTGGTCATCTAAGTCAATAAGATTTCATCAAAGATGGTTTTACTGGTATGATGTTAAATGATTTTTTTCTCTTCAATTAAAATTATTCTTGTAAATAATTTAATCTTTTCTTTTTAAGATTAAATTTTAATTCTTATCAGTCTTTTAATTTTCAAACATGTTTCGAATAATGTTGAAGATAAATTGAAATTTTGGAGATTTTCAAAACTCAAAGTATGCACTTTAAGAAATCAAATACTAATAATTACTTATAGTGTTCAACTACGGCAATGGCTTAAAAATCAACATTTGGACTAGGATAATCATCATAGTAAACCTTTATAATTTGTAACACGATACAAAATTCTTACTACAAAGTGTCGTGAATGAGACCAGAAACATAGCTTATTGAATCGCCAAGGTGGGGAAAAAACATGCTATAAGTAACCCCACCAAAGCGAAAAACAAACACTTAGTCTTTAGGAATACTAAGATCCTATTTGTGGAAAACATACATCAAGTAACTTCTGCTCTTCTAATAAGCCAAAATCATAATCTGGATTTAAGAAACTATAATCATAACCCACTTCGAAGTCTGCACACTGCATATTATTCCAATGCTCAGGAAGGTAACCACCAAGTTTGTGTAGCTGTTGAGAAAGATCACACAACTTCCTACTATGCCCAGAACTAAATCCAGGTAGTGAATTTCTGTTTGTGTTGATGTTGTTCATAGCATCAACTTGGTAAATGCTTTCCATTGGTCCTACAGTGCCACCACCGAACATATGAATTCCTTGCATTGAAGGATAATTGGAATCCCCATCTGTGGGTTCCTGATTCTTGTAGTGAATAGAATGTGCTCTGAACTTGCATTCCAGACACTTAAGCTTTGTTCTCATCTCATCAAAATGTTCAGCTTTATAATGCTCATGTGGTGACACATCATGACTAATCTTCAAGCACTTGCCGTGACATAGCCCCAGGATTTCAGAAATTACTTCCTCGGTATGCTTCCTCGCTATAGATGCCTCAGTTTGGGTGTTATTAAAATGCTCAGAATGTGGTCTTGGATTGCTATCTGGCAGCATGCTATGCATATATCCAAGGCCATGGTTGCTGCAGCTTAACTCACATGATTTCAAAATTTCAACTGATTCTCCTCTTGTTCCTTCACTTTTCACCACAATGTCATGTTCAGCAGCATCAGAAGAGCTGCAATAGTTAGCTCTTGTATTCATGGCTATGTCCACAGGCTCCTTCTGCAAGTGATTACTCTCTTCACCTAAGCCAGAATTTTTCAAAACCCTCTCCAATTCTCTCTCTATTCCTTCACTTTCTTCAGGTACTTCAGACTTAACATTCTTCATAGTTATTGCCATACATTCTTCACTTGTTTGACATTGTTCAAAGCCAGTTGTCATTTCCTTCAACTCCTCTACTGAGTCATCAGTTACAGAACCTCCAGAAGGAACCTGTTTCTCTACTTTTTCCTCAAAAACAAAATCCTTAGAAAACCTTGGCTTCTCTTCATGAGGCTGATGACGGTTCCTTTCCAACTCAGTTTTTGCAACATCACTGTCATTCTCTGAAGAACCACTTGGTGATTTTTCATCAGATCCACTAGATGATGATCCATTAGAGTCTATTGGATCTACAGAAGGCTCAGGAAAATTCAAACGGGCACAGGGGCCATACATGGCCTTAGCAGCTTCATCATAAGCAATAGCCGCTTCAAGTGCAGTGGAGAAAGTACCAAGCCAAAGCCTGTTTGCTTTCTCACCCACAATCTTGCCATTGATTGGTTCACGAATCTCAGCAACCCATTTCCCCCAAATTCTCTGCCGCACACCTCGAAACTTGCAATCGGAGTTCTGAGGTCCTCCCTTACCTCTCATGCACCCTTTTCTCGACCCTTTTGCAGGAACTTTGTGAATCACTTCCACACCATTTTCTCTTAAACCAAGTTGTTGCTGCCTGTTATACTCCTTCCACTTTTCAAGAGTGTTTTCCACAGAATCACTTCCACTACTGCGTCTCTTGCGTGATTTCCTCTCCCTGCTGTCATTCCAACCAACAAATAAACAACATTGTTAACGTTGATCTCAACTTTCTTCAATAAATTGTTGAGTTTTGAAAGCAAATATAGAAACATATAAAGAAGCAAAGCAAAGCTTATGCAGTAATCACAAATTTATTAGAGTATGACAAGATAGTGTAAAAGGTTTTTATGTAGTCGCCCAATCACATATCGATATACATGATAAATCTATTGACTTTTCAACCAAGCAAAAAACACGATGATTTTTTTATTAGTTGACAGAAAGTAGATGAAAAATTTAACTGGATTGATTACAAGAATGAGCACCAACCAAAAAGAAAGCATGAAACAAGAATAAAAACTAGATACAGTTTGGACCAAATGGAAGAGCAGCAAATTGATTCAACAGTAACAAGGACATAACTATAGACAGATAGGGTGGGATTGAGATGAATGAAGAAGTTAGCAACTGACCCAGAAACGTTACTATTAGTCTTCATGCGCAACTTTTGCTGTTGAAGAAGCATGTATCATGCAGTTTGATTCCTAGAAACAGTTGTGTTGGGATATGAAATATTTAGTAGCAATATGTGATGCAGGGTTTTAGAGTGGTTTTTGATTTTGCGGCTGTTGATTTGGATGTTTGTGAATGATGTCACCACAAACGTCAAGCTTGACTTGTTGTCTAAGAAAAGGTTGAAGAGTTCAATTTACATTTGAAAGAGGGAAACGTGAAATTGGAAGTTTTGGATAGACATGATGACGTGGCACTTTTTTACATGCTGATGGTGAGGCTGATGAGCTGCTAGGGTTGTGACACGTGGCTGGAATTGTTTCATGGTGGCAACGCGTTAGAAGCTTTCTTCATTGCGAAGGGCTCTTTTTCCATTTGCCCTTCCTTCCTGCAACTCTTCACTTATCTCTATCTCTCTGCCTCTTCGTTTTTAGGCTCATTTTTCTTACCATTCCTAATTTTGGTTTTTTATTTTCCTTCAAATTTTATAAATGCTGATTTTTATTCAATTAAGATTATTATTTTTTATTTTAAGGTGATCAATATTAGTTTAATTATAACTTTCTTTGGGTTGAAAAATCATTTTATGTACATTGGAGTTTTGTTAGGTGATGGTTTTAGGGTTTGGTTTGGGTTGAAGGAATCATGTTAACTATGTCGCCTCTAAAAACCAAAATGTACGAGTTTCATTTATATATACATATAAATATTGATCACCGTTTTATTTCGGGTCATCTTGTGTTAATTTACTTTCAAACTGATATATAAGTTAATTATTTATTGTATAATTTTTATTTTAATAGGTTGGTTTTGTAAATTAATATATATTGTATATATATTAACAAAACTAAAAAAACAACGTAGTAATCTTTTGAAATATATTACTAAAATAGGTATGACATGATAAACAATTTTTTAACAAAATATATATTATAAAATAATTATTATTTATTATTATAATATATTAGTATATAAAATATATATTTAAAAAATTAAATAATATTGACAGAAGATATTGAGAGCATAAGTTAAATTTTTTTAGAAAATATTTAATGTCTTGAGGGGAGTAAGTGTATAATAAATTATTATTTTTTAAATTAAATTCATGAAATTTTTTTTAAATAGAATTTATTTTCAGTTACTATTCTAATTAATATAATATACATAGTCATTGGATAAAATAATAATAAAAACATAAAGTTACTTCCTAATATTTAAATTTATTTTCATTTCTCATGTACCAACTCAAATAATAAAATTAGCTGAGATCTTATCTTCAACCAAGATATTATTCTCAAATGACACGCAACATTTTAAATATCTCTTAAAGACAAAAAAAAATTAATAATAAACAAATATTATAAAAGAAAACACAACCTACATGTAATTTTAAAATTTAAATTAATGTTTAAATGTTAAAAAGATGTAATTACAAAAAGGGAAGATGATTTTTATTTCTTCTTTTTTTATCTTATTTTTTAAAATAAATATTATACAAATATCAAAGATAATTTTGATATAAATAATTAATAGAAAGTTAAATAAATTCAATATTTGTAGGTATAATATGTAAGTTTCAAAGCATTGAAATAAGTGCGAGATGTTTAAATAAAAGATTAATCAAATAGAAAAAATGATAGAGAAAATCAAATATATAAAAAAATATTAATAATAAAAAAAAATACAAGAGTAATTCGTTCAAAAGTAAATATCCAATTTATCCTAAGTTTATCCCAATAAAATTATCCGTATTAATTTTTTTTTCAATTTTAAAATTTTTAATCTAGATTATGAAACAAACGTGGAATATTTATTTTAAATTTTATTAAAATGTTTATCTTCATTAAAATTAATATTTCTTTTATTATTATTGATTTATTTTATATCATATCTTTAAATAATAATAATAATAATTATTATTATTATTATTATTATTATAACTATAAGAAAGAATAAAAGATAAAAATAAAAAATTTATTTAATATATTATGAAATTAAAATCTGATCATAGTTATATATATATATATATATATATATATATATATATATATATATAAGTAACTTTTTAAAAGATAAAAAAAATATTATCATAAAAACAAAAAATGATAATTTTTTTTAGAATTGTGAAAAGAAGATGAAAGGTTCACTCCAGAGAAACTGAAAATCCACTGATATATTTTTTTTATTTCATTCCATTTGTAATCATGCATTGCAATTTTATTTTTTAATAAAAATTACATTAACTAAATAAACGTAGAAATGTTCTTCTCTTATTTCACCCCTACTCTGTTGAATTGAAAGACAAGATACAAGGTCTAAAAATATTATGCATGTTGTAGTTTTAAAATATACTTATTATTAACTTTAATTATTAGATTAAGAATTTTATTATGATCTGATTTCTTGTCTATTAGTAATTTTTATCAGTAAGACTATAGCATATTAAAATTATATTAGTTGAAAAATGAAAAACTTTGGATAAAAAAGAAATTGAAAAATATTATAATCGAAAAAAATATTTTGATTCAAAATAATGATATTTAAAAAGATATAAATGAAAAAAATATCATTTTATTATTATTATTATTTTAAATACATGTTTTTTTCTTAAATACTATTGACAATTATTGTAATTACTGTCATAAATCATTTTATAAATTAAAATTACTATATTTGATTTGATATCAACCTAGTAGAATATGGAACAAAAATTTGTCAGTCAAATATTAAAAATACTTAATTACACAGTATTGATTTAAAAATATAATAAAAAATTAAAAGTTAAAATTTAAAATGAATTTGGAATTCTCACAATTTTTATATACAGCTATTGGTCAATTAGGATCATCCATCTTGAAACTCAATCAAATTACCTCCACTTTATAAAAATGTTGGGTCATTATATGAACTTGATATTTTAAAGGAATATATACCTATTCCAAAATGAAAAAAATAAAAAATAAATAAAGGTATCAAGTGATGATAACCTTGTTGATTAATGGTGATTAGTGAATCTTGTTCTCCAATGCTTCAAATGCGGTTTCTTACTCCTACTAACTTTCCTTGCCATTCAAAAACCAAACAGTTGACTGGATCCACACCTGCATTCATCTTCCTTTTTATCATCAACTTTTCTCTTTTTCTGTCTCCTTTTTCTCTTCTCCATGCTTAAACCAGAAGCTCAAGTCCCTGTCTTCCGTCCTCCTCACATCATATAATTGTTTTCATCATCAACACCAGGTGTACTTCTGAATATGGAGTGTGTTTCTTCCTTTCTATTATATATCTCATCATTTGATTCAAAATATTAATGTTCAGTATTTTCTTTTTCTTTTGTTATGTATACCAAATGTTGTGAATGGGATGATAGAAGTTTGTGTGTAAACACGATGCTATGGTGGTAGCAGCAAAACATTTTTCTGTTTTCTTTTTGGCTAAGTTGAAAGGTTGACCTCGATTGGTCAATTAGTGAGGCTACCAGGTTGTTATGAAAATTTTGCATTTTCATCACTTAATTGTATATTATTATGCAAGAACTTTCTAGATAAAAATTGTGCATAACACCTCTGATATGAATTTTTTTATTGTGGACAATCGCTTTAGTAGAATAGTTTGGTTTCTGAAAATGTTAAAAGAAGTATTTTTTTAACTTTGAAATTTATTTGTTAGATATAATTAATTGATAATATTATATTCCATATATAATATACAACTAATTTGTATTTTAATAATACTATCATACCTATGGAAGATAAGAAAAAAATCTTTAAATTTAAATTGTGAATATGAGAGATATATATCCGACCATCTAACTTGTGTTTTATGTTGGTGAAAGCCAACAATATAAACACATGGCTTCTAACTTGCGAGCATTTTGGAACAGTCCAGTTGGTCCAAAAACATCACATTTTTGGGGACCTGTTGCCAATTGGGGGTTTGTTGCTGCTGTAAGTTACACTCCCTTAATAGTTAAAAAAATGATTTAAGATTGCAGTGAGATTATTGTTGATTTAATTGTGTGATGTGTTTGCTTTCAGGGTTTGATGGACATGAAGAAACCTCCAGAAATGATCTCTGGAAACATGACAGCAGGTTGAAAGATCTGTTCCAGGAAAGTTGGAATGTTGATAACAATATATAGCATACATTTGTGTGTTTAATGTTTTTCATTTGTTGTTGTGTTTGAGTTGGTGGTGCAGTGATGTGTGTGTATTCAGTGTTGTTCATGAGATTTGCATGGATGGTGCAACCTCGAAACTATCTACTTTTTTGTTGCCATGCATCCAATGAGACCGTACAGTTATGGCAACTCTCCCGTTGGGCAAAGGGGAATGGGTATGCATGCAACTTAGCACTACTCAGCTATGAACATTACTTTCATGTCTAAGCCAGAATTCATGGATATTTTGTTTTGTATAGGTACCTCTCAAAGAACAAGGAAGATGCTTCATCTCAATAACTCTATGCTTCTTCATAGTGATCCTATAATTAATTATATGACCATTTGTATTAAGTTTATTTATTCATGTACAATTTTCTTTTACATTTTGGTACCCAAGTTCGTGAAGATTGTTTTCCTATTTGAATAGATTAAAAAAAAGTTTTGAGCCCTTAGACAAATGTAATATTTTGTTTCATGAATATACCTCAATCAGACATTATTGGAACAAGTTTTTTTATTATGTTTCAAATAAAACATAAAAGTAAAGAAAATAAACTCATGTTCTATATATATATAGGTTAATTGATACATAAATAAAAAGAATGTGATAGATATTGAGATGTCAAAGTTAAGGTCACCTCTTGTGTAAACAATTATAATTATTTATCTTAATTAAATTTAAATTATATTAACAACTTACTTAATTATTCAAATTTTTATTTGTTAAACAAATGAAATTAATTCAAATAATTATTAAAATATTGATAATTACGATAAATTAGTTAGCTTAGATTATAAGTTTAAAGATATCTAATAAAAATAATATATTTTTAGTATTAATTTTAATAAGCCGTTATTTTCAAATTTTAGGTTTTAAAAGCGTTTTCTTAATATCAATAAAAATTAAAGAAGTAAAAGTTTGAATTTCATAACTGGAATTTCACAACTAAGAGGTCATCATAGTTATACAAACGTTAAGTATATTAAAAAATACATAACTGAATAAAATCTTTGATTATAATAGAAACTTACGTAAGTTTGAGTTTCATTATCCAAGAAATTAATGACTCATAATTATACTAAAAATATATTTTTGTAATCATCACTTAAGCATTTTAAATTTTTTCTATCTATCAACAAATTTTTTGAAATAACGGGGTAGAGTGGCAGTGTTAGTGCGTGAGTCCATTTTTAAAAATATTATATTTTTTATCATGTTATTAAAATATATAGATATATTATAATATTATAATTTAAATTATAAATATTAATTAATTAAATTTAAATTATTGATTGTAATTAATTATTTTAATACATAAATATAATATTTTTTAATTTATTAAATAAAAATATTAATTAATAAATAAAAACTTAAAATTATTTATATAATTAAATGTATATTTAATATATATATATATATATATATATATATATATATATATATATATAACACGATCATCATATAGTATTACTACCTAATATCACAACGTAATTTAATATATATCTAGTATTTTTTATTTATTATTTTCAAATATATTTATTGTTTATTAATTATAAGTACCAAAATTTTGTTATTTATATAAAAAGATTAAAACACCCCAAAAAAATTGTAATTATGATAAAAATAAAAGTTTTTATTTTATTTTTAAAATTAAAAATATAAAAGTAAAATATATTAACATATTTAATAGAAAACGTTGAAATTAATCTTCCAAATAAAGATGAATATGATAACATGATTAACAATACTTGCACATCTAAGAAAACACATTAAGGTCATATAATGTCTTTACAGTACATCAAATAGAGACCAACTAAATATGAAGCAAATATATATATTAAAATGTTAATGAGTTAAAAATAAACATAAAACATTTTAAAGTTGAAATGAAAACGCAAATAAGCATCGTGAGGAGCCAATTAGTCTCATACTAAATGATTTGATTTGAATGATAAGAGAAAACACTAACCACAAAATAAAATCATAATATTATACACTTGTGTAATATTTTTAATTTTTAAATTAAGATAATTGACAATTTACACTTTAAAACAATAATTCAAAAACTATTACAGTAACATGAACAATGATATTTTGACACTCTCCCCTCCATTTTATTAATATAATAATGATAAAAAGATTTAATAAAAATAAATTAAAATTATTATTATAATATTAAAAGTGGGTTATTTTTTAACGTTGTATAGATCTGGCTTGTGAAAATATCATTTTTCATAGTAACATTACAAATTCATAAATCAAAGTCACTGTTTATAATAAGTAACAGATCGACGTGGGTAAGAAAGAAAATAAGAGTTTCCCTCCAAAATTAGAAGAAAAAAACGTGTCCAAATTCCCTAAAATTAAACTCGTCAAGCGATGGTGCAGATTGGGAGAAGCTCCGATCAACCGCGGGCGGGGACGGGTGGAGCGGGGGGAGGCACGTTGACGGCGGCGCGGAGGATGGAGAGGAAGCCGGCGGGCTGGGAGGCGTCGCGGTCGTCGAGGAAGAGGTCCTCGGGGACTCTGAAGGCGGCATGGGCAGCGACGAGGGCGACGGAGAGGGTGAAGGCGGTGACGAGGAGAGAACCAAGAGGGGTGAGGAAGAGGAGGACGAAGGAGCAGCCGGCGAGGAGCGAGAGCGTCTCGAAGTCCGTGAAGGTGCGGCCGAAGAGGTGGAGGGGGCGGTCGCTGGGGCGGAGGAGGTAGAGGACGAGCCAGGAGGCGAGGAGGGCGAGGAGAAGCACCAGGGAGAAGGGGCTCGTGAGGAGCGACACCGCCAAGATCAGCGAAACCACGACGTAGTAGTTGACGCGGAAGTAGGAGACGTTGTGCCTTACGCGCACCGTTGCCTCCGAGAAGGACATCGGTTTGGCGAGTGCAGACCGGTCCAGGAGCTCCGGCCAGGGGCGCCGATGCGAGAGGCTGTGGCGGAGGGAGTCGGAGAAGTAGGATATGAGGGCGCGGAATGCGGTCTGCGATGGCTGAGTTTCCGCGGTGGTGACGGTGTTAGTGATGGTGGTTTGAGGGTTTGAGACGGGAAGAACCTGTGCGGAGGGTGCGGGAGTTGCCATGTTGAAGAATGTGAGAAAAATAAAAGTTTGGGGAATGAAAAAGGATGGAAGTTGGAACAAGAAAAGAAAATTAATATGAGGGTTGTTTGTTTTTGGGTATTCTAATTTGGCTACCTTCACGCCTATTCTAGAATTATTACTATAAAATACTCAAAGGTTTATATTTAACCCATTTTTACTCTTTTTTCTATTTTTTTTCTTGTTGGATAATTGTAGTTTAGTTTCTCTATTTAAACCCAGCTTTTAAACTAGAAAATGCAATGCAACGTTCGCAGTTTCTCCTTTTATCCATGTTGTGCATATAATCTAGAAAAACAACCCTTTCATTTGATAGACACATTGTAATACACATGTAATCCAGGGTATAACCCTACAAACAACACAGATGTGATCAAGTTAATAGAAGGAAATGTTAATCGCAAAACTGAAGCTAATGCACTCTATTATCCTATAGAATAAGCGAATGTTATATGTAGATGGTGGAAAGGAAAGGGTAAGGCTCGGCATCTTCTCTTCACCTATGCTTCTCATCTTAACTAACTCTCATACTTGTTTCTCCCACAACTTCTGCACCATTCTTTTTTCTTTTCAAATCCCATGTTTATTTGCTCATAATTAAACAGGCAAGTATCCCAGACTGTACAAGCAGATGAAGAAAATATTAAAATAAAATAAAGTTATAGTCTTTCGAACATACCCAAAAAAAAAAAAAAAAAAAAAAATATATATATATATATATATATATATATATATATATATATATATATATATATATATATATATATATATATATATATATATATATATATAAATTGTAGGTCTGTAATGTTTTAAATTTGTAAGCGTTTGTTCATTCCTTTATCTTTTTATCAAACAATGGTTAAGGGTATTTTATTTTTGAATGTAAATTTTATTGAATAAAATTACTTGTGGCTCTCTAATCTTTTGATCAAACAATGATTAAGAGTATTTAATATGTTTTTAAACAATTTTTATTATATTCGATAACATGGTAACTAATATTGTTTCTGAAAACATCTCCATTATAATTGTCTTTGTCTTTTATTATAAATTCTGATGAGGTTTTATTTTTAAATATAGTAAATTTTATCATTTTTAAGCAAATCCTTTTTGGTCCAATAATAAATTTTTATAAGACCAACAGTTTTTAAATTTTTTAATTATAGTTCAATTTTTTACAAATCAAAATATTAATTTAATCATTATAATTAAACATCAGACTAAAAAAAATACTGATAACAAAAGGTTAATTTTTGTTTTTAAAATTCAAGATCTTCTATAAAACCTTCATCATGTTTCAATGAATGAATGTATCTTAAATCAATTCCTTTGCATTGAAGTATTCTACCATTTATTGATTATATACGATGAAGAACTTAATAATCTCTTTAACTGGGAATTATATATTATTATTTTTCCATTAAACTCGTTAACGAACCTGCGTAGACACTTCTACAGGCTTTTGTTTTTTAACCAAACAGGATTAAAAAAAGTTTGATTTTACTAAAATGGGTAAAAAAAATTATTTTTCCTAAAATAGGTTAAAACGTGGGAGGAGAGACGATTTCACCTTCAAAATCGTAATAGGAAACACAATTTTAAACTAAAATCATGTTTCCTACCACGTTTTTTTCAAATTGTACTTCCAAACATGATTTCAGGTTTTAAAAAAAATGTAACACGAAACACAACTTTCTTATTCCTTCTGGAAAAAGACACTTTTTTTATTTTTTAAAATATATTATTTAATAAATATTTATTTTCAATTAAATTATTAATTTAATAAAATATAAAATTATTTAGATAAATATGATTAAATTTAATTTATTATATTTATATTAAAATATTACATGTATATATATTATTACAGAAAAAATTAATGGTGAAACTATGTCCTAGAATGTGGTCTTCTTATTTGTTGTCTTGGTCTACGTGGTTGATCTTGAATATGCTTCTGTTGTGTTTATGTAAGACGGATACGACCCTGCGATTGTTGAGGTTGAATGTTTGTTTGTCTATCATCATCATTATTTTCATTTGCTTACTGCATAAGGGACATACAAATAAGGGACATACAGGGCACAATAGTCACAAAAAGTATCTGATTGTATGTTGATAACAATGTCATTAAAGAGGTGGAAAATAAATATTAAAAAAAATTATGTCTAACAAGAGGTGGAAAATAAATATTAAAAAAAAAATGATGTCTAACTCGTGGTACATAGCATGTTTTTTTTTTACAACATCAAATCGTGCTTGAAAGTAAAATTTCACAAACAAAAAAAATTAAAAACCACTAAAATTGTGGTTGAAATCACAATTTCAACCCCCTTGCACAATTTAATCCATTTTTGTCAAATTCAAAATTTTCAACCCATGTAGTAAAATCCAAACTTTTTTTAACCCCTATAGTAAAAAAGCCCACTTCTACACGAAAAGAGTGTTCAAAACGGATCAAATTGTTGTAAATCGTTAAACCAACAACAACAAAAATATAATAAAAACCGATCATACTGAAATAATCGAAAGAAAAAATGGATTTACCTATTTTTACTGATGTTGATTTTATTTTATGGATATTTAGCAATATGTGGTATTATTTAAAAAGTTTAATAATTATAATTTGTGTTTTATTATATAATTCTTTCCAATATAGATTGAGGAAGAGAGTGGAACCTATTCAAGGTCATATTATTGAAGGACTACGTTAATGCCACGCACTCATTACAAACTCAAATCCATATAATCATGCATGCAACCGAACCAAGATGGATTGAGTACAATAGAGTCTCGGAAAGATGGTATGGTCGAACCTATGTATGGTGGAGATCCCTAAATGCTTTAATCCAATTTCAGTCCATGCAGAGATAAAAGTTCCTATTCTTTAAATGGACAATCCAGTTACCATGGCTGAATTGAATAGGGTGTTAGATTGGGATTAAAATATGTATCCTAATAGTGACCAAATTTTGTTACCAGTTCAACACATAATCTCTTAACATGGCAAAACATTTCGATTATTTTAACTACCCAGACTTAAAATAAGACGACAGTGCAATTTTCTCAAATTTGTGGAGACGTGAACCTAATTGATTTGTTTAAAGTTCACATGGACCAAAGTTTTACGTTTTAACCATGCATAATTAACCCCCAAAAGACAATCATCTTAAAAGTCACCATATGAAGTTTGTCAAGAGATAATAACATCGTAAACATATACAACACCCGGTTGTCCTTAAACAAAATCAAATTACGATGACATAATGTCCTCAAAGGGGTATATGAAATTCAGAGTACTGATAAAGAAAGAAGTTCTGAAACAGAATAACGAGTTCATCCGACATCCAATCCATGGCATCCATGGAATCATTACCGCAATAACTCGGACTCAGAATGTAGTTCCATTCCATCCAAAGTTGGAACCCTGCAGAACACAGAAACCACTATCAGCAAAGAATATGTGACTAATTAATAATTGAGCTTAGAAAATGTTGGTAGTTAGCATCGAAATGAATTTTGGTTCGATTATCGGATACACACAGCTTATAAAAGCTACTATGAAGTCTAGAACAGTAAGGATTTATTTACATGACCTAGTGCTGGTGTAAAGCATGCAAACATTGTGCATATTCTTGACTCTGATGGGCCTAAACAAAAAGGAAGAATGGAAGAATAAGAGGATGCAAGGTAACGACGACCCTTCTTTCGAGGAGAACTCTAGAGTCTAGATACATGCCTTAGTGTCGTAAAACTTCAAGAAGAATCGCGACTTTGGCACAGACAACTTGGTTTCAAGAATTGCAGCAATGCCAGCACTGAGTTTCTTGTTCACATCAGGGCTCAGGCCGCCAATGGACACCAACTCACCATAAGCTGCTGGCTGCTCATTCCCACCAAAAGATATAGGTACTGATCCTTTCAATACAATCATCACATACTGCAAAAAAAAAAAAAAAAAAAAAGTATAACCAAAAAGCTTGAAGGGAAACCAAATAAATAAAATGAAGAAAATCTTTCTGCAAAGCAAGAGGAATAGAGTAGGAGAAAATAGAAATATCAAAGTTTATCGTAATATATATATCAAACCACAAAAAACTCATGTTATATCATATCTACTGGCTATCACTCCACCGTAGCAAAATCTCTCAAAAAGCATCCATCACAAAATATAACAGATTACATTGCTGACATTGACATAAAATTAAACCGAAAGTGTGTGGCGCATGTTGCTGAATATGTTCAACATAGAATTGACAAATTAGAAATTACAGACAAATTACAAACAACCATAATATAGCTATAACACATGAAGAAAAACTAACCACACAATATCCTATTATCCATTTTTAACTACCCACGAGGTATGTACTACTTTGTAATTACAAACATACAACACTAGAACCACCGAATCAAATTCAATTGAAAACAAACTACACAAAGCTATCAAAAGATAAAAACAGAAAAAAACTATAGGATATGTATATGGCTATCAAGTACCATCAACATATGCTTTATGCAGACACAACAAGGGTTTCAACCAAACAACAGAATTTTTTCCCATTTCCACCACATTTATATGCACAAAATTTCATCAAGTAAATTAATTTAACACACTATCTACGACATAGTAGTGAAAATAAAATTAAAGTATCAACACACAGTCAAAACCTAATCTTGAAACAATAATCATAATTGAAGAATCAAATAACAATAAGAAAAAGAAGAACCCTAGACACAGAAACTGAAGAGAAGAAAAGGGGGTGAGTCCCTGAACTAATTATTATTTTAAAATCCATTTATTCATATAACTGCATGAAAAGCAAAATTAAATTGAAATATTGCACTGAGAAAAGAGGATCGAAGTGTGAAAAACCCAGAAATGGGAATTTCACAAACCGAAACAATGCCTAAAACGACGTCACATAACCATTAAATGGAGAGTGGGAGAGAAAGTCAACGTACGGCTTCGGGTTTGCCGATGATGTTGGCCACGGTTGAGGTGGCTTCGGAGAGAATGGAAGAGGTGTCGACGCCGTCGAGGTTAACGTTGGTGGAGAGGTTGAGGCACGGCATGGTTTCACTCCGCAGCTCTTGTTCCGTTCTTCTGCCACTGATGTGAAAGGTGAAAGGTGAAATCTCTGTCAGAATCACTCAACTCTAATTTTATATGGCAACAATGTTTTAAAATCCCCAAAATGCCCTTTACCTGAGATAATCTTTTCTATTTACACCTGTTACTTTGATAATTTAATTCTATCAAAAGAATAGAAATGTCGAAAGGAACAAGCTTCATGGGCTATTCAAATAGCCCATTTGAATTGGGCAAACTCAATCTGAAAAAAAAGAAGAAGAAGAAGTTGATTAGTTTAAGTTATCTTAATATAGTTAAGATAGTGTTGTATTGTGTGCATTTATGCATCATCACTTTATTCAATTAAGAGTGGAGAAGAAAGTGGATTGAAAATATGGGGAAGTTAATTGGGTGGATGGTGAGTGGATGTGGGATTTATGGTGGAGGAATGAGTTGTTTGAGTGGTGAAGGATTAGGAGTGAAAATCCATCATGGATTTTTTAACATTAATCACAATCTACTAGAGAAAAAAAAGAACAAAATAAAGTTTTAATAGTTAAATAATGTGAAAAACCAACGCCATAACTAAAAAAAGTGTTACTTATACCTATATAAAAAGAAAATATTAGAAGACAAAAAATCAACCTTTTTTTTTTTATCACTTTCGTTCGTCTTATATATGGAAAAATTATGTAGAATTTATCTATTTTTTTTAGCATTAAAAATACTAATATAAATTTTTTTCAATATAGTTCTTATAAAGTGAGATAAAATTAGTTTTGTTAAAACTTAAATTTTAACATATTAATTTTTTTTCATTTTAAAATTATTTCAATAGGTTTATAAATTCACATAAAATAATAATTAAGATTATTGATTAATTTATCTATATTTTTTCAAGATGTTTTTTTTTAAATAAAATTATGAAACAAATAATATATTAAACACATTAATAATTTTTTTACTAATGAGAACAATATTATAAAAGCATAAACCCTCAACAAAAATTAATGAAAAAGTTATAAACTTTTAAAAACAATGTTTTGTTGTAAAAATTTGGGACAATACACCATTTAAATGAATTTAAAATAGGAAATTAATTATTGTTGCCCTAGCGCCACTTTTTGACTTTTATAATCCTATATGAAATATTTTAAGTACGCATAAAGTTTCAACTCGTACATGTTCACACGGGCTATGCTTTGAATCATGGGAGAATTACGCTGGAGTTGTTTATACATCAAACCCAGCATTTTTTACTAAGTTTGTAACATGAAATTCAGCAAAATTTATTACAGTTTGTTTTATTTTCTTCGAAAAAAAAAACTCTTTTTATTGTAGTTACGAATTTAATAAAAGTGTACATTATTTGTGTAAAAATAATAACATCTAATTATGAATTGTCATGTATCATTATTATATTTTTATAATAATATTTTAAAATCAAATATTGAATGATTGTTCATTAGTTTATAATATGATTTTTTCATAGTGTATAAAAAAATTATTAGGCTCTATATTAATTTTCTAATAACATATTTTTGGTACAAAAATATTTTGTATAATTACTGAATTCTTTTAGATAATCTAAAATTAATTTTGAAAGATTTAAAATAATCCAAATTACGAGATAAAAATATAAACAAATTTTGACTTATATGTTTTGTAATAAGAACCACATTTCTGCGTATATGGGAAATGATTATTAATTGATTGGTACACTAATGGTCAATAATCATATATAGTTTGCATTTGTTGCATAAGCAATGTGACCTTTTTTTCTTCACCTTTTTAAGATTTTGGGACCATGATATCATGTTTGTACAATAGGTTTCTCCACTTTTTAAGATGTCAAAATACATCATGAAACTATGATAATTAAGTATAAAGTTTAAAGTCTTCTCAACTTTTTTAGAGAAATTAAAGTATATATAAATATTTACATAAACATGTTATTTTACTTTCAGATGTTTTTTCTTATATTTGGGATTTTCATTCTTCTTTCCAAAATTTGTAACCTTTATAGATTATGCTTCTTATTTGTTATAATATTCATCTTCATGGAGCACATGGTTGACCCTTCTTCAAGGACATGCCTTAGTACGGGTTCATCTGCAGAATAGTAATATATTATACTAAACATATCAAATTGGATTTCTCTTTTTCTTAAGGAAAAAAAGTATAACAATTACTCTCTTTCATAATAACGGAAGATTCATAATCTATATAGAAGTAATTACTATTAACAATACATGAAATGGTTTTTATTTAAACTATTCAACGTTGTTTAACTAGAACAATTAGTCAAAGAAAAAGGTAACAATGGATACGAGGTACTTTTTGTTAATGAAATAAATCATTTCATTTTGACAAACTGAAGCAGTGTGTGGATTGTATACTTTATTCATTGAATAAAACTTGTCTTTGTTTGATTTTTGAACAAAGAAGATTACAGACACAAGAGAATTTAACATTGTTCAAATATGAAGGATAACATGAGAAAATTGTTGAAATAGTTAATTATAACACACACTTCAACGACAATGATGATTAAAGCACAGTGACGAGGGTTGTGATCAGAATCTGAAAGCTAGCATTAGATTTTGGATTTGGTAGAAAATGCAGTGGTATCGAAGACTTTGAGGAAAAACCGTGTTCTTGGGATAGAAAACCTGGACTGCAAAATGGTTCCAATGGTGGCAATCAGCTTCCTCTTCACTTCTGAATTTATGCCACCCATTGAAACTATCTCAGCATATGCTGCTGCTTCCTTGTTACCCTCAAATGATATTGGCACTGAAGATTTCAATACCACCATCACAAACTGCATGATTATGGTCACATTAGACAGAAATATATATGTAAGTCACATTAATTAATATTATTGATCACTCAATTTTTCAAAAGAAGAAAAATTATGATGAAGTAGATAGATGTTCTGCACTAATAATATTGTTATTAAAAAATAAACAAAAACTAAGAAAATGTTGGTTTATTATTATTGAGACTAAAGAATCAAATAAAAATATAAAATTAATAGGTTTCAATTTTTAGAGGAACACAAATTTCCATTTTGGCAATTTCGATAAACAAACAATAGTGGTACGTTGGTGGGGATGTCCCACAAAGTGCACTCCAGAACACCAATTTTCCACTATCCATTCCCTTTTCACACATGGTATAGACAAAGGAATACATTCCAAGAATCTCACAGTGCGTTCTATCCCTAAAATCATGAGTTACAATAAAAATTATCATTTAAATAAACTTGGGTGCATATTTAATTGTTTAAATTTAATTTAACCCATTGTTAAAACAAACACTTCATACGGACATGACAATCTATTACTTAGAATAATCAACAGAGCTGTATGATTTTAATCGTTCTTCAGGCCAAACATGTCCTGTTACATGGAAAATTATATACACTGCATGATAGGCTCAGAACGTTAATTCTCATAATCTTTTTTAACTATCAACTGGTTTTGTTTGAGTAATACAACCAATGATCATAAACTTGTTTATGAATATTTTCACTTAAAATTATAATTTATACAACAAGCATAAATATATAAGAAGAATGATGTGATAATAGCATTTTTCTATGAAAACTTTTCATGACACCATTGAAAGAGAAGGTACCAATTGCTTATTCTGTTGAAAATCTGTCGAATTTGAAGGGAGCTACAATTTTATACGCAATTCAGATTCAGATTCGCTCATCTTAGCCATAATAGTAGAATATAAAGCACCAATATAAATAGTTTCTATATGTCGAGAAAAACCATGCTTTAATCAACCAACCATTAAAAGAAAGAAACAAAGCCCAACAAGGGATCTTGTAAGTGACGGGAGTGTAATTCAAATTGTTAAGACAGATGAAGTGATGATAAGTAGTTGGCAAAGAAAGGTTTACGATTACCTTTTCAGGTTTTCCGATGATCGTAGAGACAGCAGTGGTGGCTTCAGAAAAGATAGGGTTGGTGTCAATTCCATCTAAGTTAACGTTGGTGGTGATGTAAAGGCAAGGCATGTTCCTGTTTTTCTACGCTATAGCTTCTTGTTAATTTTCAAAGATTTTTAACTTGGCCAAGTTGGTAGAGTTGAGCCTATAAATATTGCAAGTTCCAACCGATATGTATATGTATATGTATATATATATATATATATATATATATATATATATATATACACACACACTGTGATGGCCGCTAGTGACAGTGGAGACACCAGCTTACTCTCCATTGTCCTTTTGTAATAGTTTTTTGCCTTCCATTCATCTCGTTTTACATGCCACAATGATGGGTCGATCCATTACAATATAATAGTAAGATTGTGGTATTGTTACTTTTCCAAGTTGCAACTCGTTAATTAGTGTTAGTGTTATTCACACTTCATAATCTCTGAGGTAAAAGGTACATGTTCAGTCCCGTTTACAGAAATTTGGATAAAAATTAACTTTTTTGAAAATATATATAAATCAATCTCAACACTTTCGAGATTTTTTACACTAAGTGAACAAAGATTAAGTAGTTGCAATTATGTGACTACTCGTGACAATCAACTCCATAACCTAACTAACAGTCCTAGACTCTGACATTTTTATGTTTAGTTGGGTAGATTAGAATATGAAAGATGAAAGAAACAATAATCAACTGATCTAGAAAAGACATATTTTTTATGTCGATTAAAATTTCATATGGAAACAATCTTAAAGATGAAAATAATCAATCTAAAAAGAGTTTCTTATGGACTAGAGTAGAGAGTGTTGTGTGGTTTATATTATCTATTTAAAGAATGACTTTGCAATCATTGATAAGAGGATCATAGTCGTTACTTGTGTTCAGGGAACATTCTCAATCATTGTTAAGAAATAAGCCCCGGCTAGAAAATAGTTGCATTTTCTATATTTTGAGAATGGTTTTTCAATAATAGTGTTGCCAAAATGGTAAAAAGCTATTGTCTTTACATAAAAATCAACCCCAACTTAACAATTTTTAATCAATATAGGTTGGTGGTGTAATGCACCTACCCCACCACAAGCATTTCCAAACACCTTAATAAGGACAATTGAATTTCATGTGAAACTAGCTAGCAGATGCAAAGATGCCAATCTTCTAAGAAATATGGACTACACATTGTGGAAGATTTGACTTGTGCAGTTATGCTTCCTTCCTAATGGGAGGTAGGCCTCCTCAAACACATTCACTTGGTGCATGTTTCTGTTCTTATCCTCTCCAATGGAACCCAAACAACTAACAAATGTCACTGTGGTTTTCTTTTAGCCTTGTTTGAGAAATATCTGAAGAAATTTGACTTTGCAAAAATGAAAAAAATGAGTTTCATATTCATCAGATGAAGAAACTATGAAATATAACTCACATGGATCATTAAAAAAAATATTTAAATATATTTTTAATATCTCATATAGTTGTGTTAAGTTTTTTTTTCTTTCAAATTGAATTTTTCTTTGTCTCTTGATCCAAATGTTTTATATAATATGTTAAAATATTTTATTATAAACATATAAAATAGAAACCATACAAACTATTATCTAAAAAATTCAAGAACTATATATATTTAATTTTTTAAGATGCTTAAGCGATATACATTTTCATTATTTAATATTTTATAGGAGAAGTAACTGTAACCATTAACAGGGAAACACCATATTTTCCAATCTTTGTTAGTTGCATTGTCATACAATAACAAAAATAAAATAAAATATATTAAAAAAAATGTGCCTATAATTATATATTTGTAATTGTTCTTTGAGATAGAGGGTATGAAGGCCCAGCAACCAGATTCAAATATGTTATTATTTTACTTTTGAAAAATCATAATTTGATTGGAAGTGTATGGCATTGACCATTGGAATTGTGAGTGAGTAGTGAGGGTGATGGAATTGCAACGTAAATGAACATAAACTACCCCTTTGTTGTGGGTCACACAAACTTTAACAATTTTTCATTATTCCTTTTTCGTCTCAAAAGAATACTTCTACTTATGCTGAAATAAATTGTTACAAAATATATTTTTACAATTATGTTAGTATATATTCAATATATAAAGAATCTAACTTACACAAGGTATAGTTTGATATAAATTTAATTATTAATAATAATGTGTTTATTAGAAAATGTATTCTTATCTGCTCACGATTATATAATTTTTTAACAAATTTCTATTAATAAAAAACATGTTAAAAATGCATTACACACTCTTGTAAGACTTATAATCTTAATGTGTGAACAATCTTCTAATTTCCTTTACCACCACTCAAATATTGATCTTCATAAAAACCAGTTTAGCTCAAATGCATAAACATTTGCCTTGTACAAATCGATTACTATTTTCTGCACATTTGTTCACGTTTCTTTCTTAATTCTTTATATTTATTACACGTGGTTGACAACAAGATGCAATTTTCACGTTTGTTTGGTTTGGATTATGGAAAAAGTAGGGAGAAAGAAAATGGGAAATTGATATATAGAATAAGTATAGAAATTTCTCTTTGCTTCTCAAAATGATAGTAGAATAACATGTACTTTTTATATTCATTGATTTTTTTAATTCAATTTTTTTTTAACATATAGAACCATTTATTAATTTTTATTTGTTTAAGAAATTAAAACTAAGAAAATAAAAGAGAGATTATTTCTTTGTCGTTTCGTACTAGTTTTAAAGGAAATATTTATTTTAACGATATTCTTTTGGACCATCCATTTTTAATAAATTTTAGATAAATTATGCTAGTTATTTAAATTATTTAAAAAAAAGTGTCCTTTTGATATCAATTAAGGAATAGTGAATAGATTAAACTTGAATAATTCTAATCTTACGTTTAATAAATTATTTTAGGTAAATTTTCAGTTTTTATTAGGTCGATAAGATAAAATTAATGTGTGAAAATAGAATATGTTTTTCGATAAAATTATATAAAAAATAGTGGGTGTATTTATTAAAACAGTGTATTTGAGACAGTTAACTGATTTTTGCAGTTTGTCTTTCGGGACCGAAACTCTATCACCCTTATTGGATTGAGGAGAGTCAATAATTAATAATAATACAATTTTTATTTGATTAAACAAAATGAAATTATAACATTTAAATAAAAAAATATTTTTCCTTTCTTCATCTTCTAAATAAATTTATATTTCAGTTGATTCCGCTAAAAACAAATTGGCATCACTGTAAGTAAAACAAAATAAAAAAGTTTTTTTTTTTATACTAATAAAATATTCAGTGCTGTAGAAGAGAAAAATGTCTATGAAAATCTGAAAATTAGGAGCCACCTCCACCTTCTCCACCGGCACCGTCGCAGTCATAAACCGGCAATGGCCGATGAAGACGAAACCCTCTCTCTCCGCACCCTCTGCACCATGAGGTCCCTCCTTCTCCACCCTTCTACCTCAAAACGTACCGTTTCCCACATCCTCCAAACCCTAACCAGCTCTCCACACCCCACTCCCCACTCCCTCAAACTCCTCTCCGACGCCGCCGCGCTCCACCCAGACCTCGCCCCCTCCGCAGCCCTCCCTGCCGCACAGTCCCATCCCCATCTCGCTGTGGAAGCCATCGGCTCGGCCCTCTCGGGGCTCCATCTCGACGACGCGCGCTTCACGTCTCTGTGCTTCGGCACCTCTGTGCCGGCGCGAGCGTGGATGCTCCGGAACGCGGGTTTGAGTTTCAAGGTCCGACCTGGCTTGCTGCTGGCGGTGCTACTGGGGTTTACGAAGGATCCGTACCCTTACGTGAGAGACGCGGCACTAGAAGGGCTCGTCGGGTTCAGCGAGCGCGGTGGAGAATTGAAAGACGTTGGCTTGGTGGATGCGTGTTATCGACGCGCCGTTCAGTTGCTTCGGGACGTCGATCCTTGCGTTAGGTTGTCTGCTGTTCGCGTGGTAAGGTTCTCTTCTGCTAACATTTCAACTCCATAACTCTTCTACTTTCTCCCCTTCTTTTTATTTTTCTCTGCATCCAAGTTAACTTTTTATTTCATTAGAGTTTCATTCTTATTATAGAAATAAAAAAGAAAAAAAATTCTTTATTTTCTGTAATTTTAAACGTATTTTAATCATGAATTTTCCATTCATTTTAATTTCATAGCAAGTATTCGACATGAATAATTTATTTTAAATAAATAATTTTTATTATTTTACGTGGTTATTTTTAATTATTTACAGTTTACAGAAAGAGTAAATTATGAAGAATAGAGGTGAAGAAGATCAATTATGTGAGACATAAGTTTTGGTTGGTAGAACAAGTAGTGTGTGGTAATGCATTTTTATTTTTAAATAAGTGAGAAAAAGAGAATGATGAAAGTATTTAATTTGATTTTACTGGATTTCTTTTACAGAAAGGAGATCGAGGTTAAGAATGTAATTGCCACGTGCTTGCAATTGAGAATATAAATAAATTACTATTGTAATAATTAATTGAATATATTAAATTTAAATTTAAATATTTTTAAAGATTTTTATTGTTAATTCGTTTTTACATATATTTTAATTAAAATATACTCAGTGAATAATTTGATTAAAATATATAAAAATTAAATTTAAGAAAAAGACTGAGGTTTGAGGTTTAAAATTTTAATTTTTAACTTTCATCCGTTTTAATCTTGAACATATGATCCTGTTTCGCCTTTGAAGAAGACAAACAAGTTTAACGAATTTCGGTCCTGACGAGCCAGGTTACCATGACTATTTTGTTTATGCTTATCAATGTAGCAACTATAGTGAAGGTATTTTTATCTTTAGTTGACTAACTAAAAGAAGTGTGGTTACTCCTTTTTAATTATTTATAGTTTTTGTGTCGCGGAAAGATTAGAAATGACAATATCAGATATTTCAGTGTTAGTGTGAATCAGATAATGTTCTTGTCGAAGTTCAGTCAGTTGTCGAATGATTAATATTCTGTTTCTGAGCTATTTGATGGTGGTCAGGTGAGTCTGTGAATGATGTAAACTGTTATATTGCAGGTGGCTTCATGGGGTATGATGTTGGCAGCTTCTAATTCAGACACGAAAGCCTATTGGTCCAATGACGTATTTGCCAAGGTAGACTCTTACCCTGTAGGTTGCGTATGTCTCAAATTTTTTGGTGTTAAGTATCTGTTTTAGTTTTCTAGCATTTCGGACACTTGCTGGCTGATCCTTCAATATCACATAACACATTGACTGTATGTGCATATAGCTATGCTCCATGGCAAGAGATATGAATATGAAGGTCAGGGTTGAAGCATTTAATGGCCTCGGAAAGATGGAAATGGTGTCGGAAGATCTTCTGTTGCAAAGTTTATCAAAGAGAGTTTCAGGACGTGGAAAGCAAAAGGAAACTGTGGATCAGCGCACATCTGAACAATTTGTGATGTTGGCAAGTAGTGTTGCTGGAGCACTCGTTCATGGACTTGAGGATGAGTTCTTTGAGGTAACTTTTGAAAACTCCTTCGTAGTAGAGGTTAATATAAAATTGACAGCAATTATCTGGTATAGTTATAATGCTTTTTCCTTGCGTGATTATTTGATAATATTGACTTCATTTCTGCATGATATGAAGGTGAGGAAGTCTGTATGTGAGTCCTTACGCACACTGACAAGCCTATCTGCTGAGTTTGCACGTGAAGCCTTAGACTCATTAATGGATGTGCTGAATGATGATTCGCCGGTGGTTCGCTTACAAGCTTTAGAAACCATGTATCAGATGGCCATTAATGGCCGTTTAAAGCTTCATGAAAAACATTTCCACATGGTTTGTTTCTGATCCTTCATTAATTTTGCTGTGTCCGGTATAAATTTTAGTGCCTACGGTTTTTCCTTTCGTTGAAACTATTTTCACTTCAAATATAAAAGTGTCATCTAGTCTTCATATTCTATTTTGATTTTTAATGACAAAAGTTCCATTTTGTTTTCATTTTTTTTACCCATTTTCAAATGTTTGTATAGAATCAGTGAAAATAAAAAACAAAGCAAAATCAAGGCAACATTTTCTTAATTAAAACTGAACAAGAAATGAAAACAGAAATTGTTTTCTCGAACCAAATGGCCCGAAGGTTTTTTACTAGATTTGTAGAATGAACTAAGTCAATAGGGTTGACAAAATTACATTTGGAAAGTGAAGAATGACTAGCGGAATGTATGGAAAAGTTGTTTTTGTTGGGGACCAATGAGGCGTGGTTTCTGAGATTGGTTAGATTGCATGTTTGAGGTTTACCAAACAGGAAAGAATGATTGTTTTGGTATCGATGGAAAATCAAATGAATTACCAGGGACTGTTATGTCTTTTGGCTCTTCTAAAAAGAAGAAATAGTTTTGCTAAAAACTGTCTTAAGATTCAGCTGATAAAAACTTTTTCATAAACAAAACCTGGCGAACAGCACGAATCAGTTGCGGGGGATTTAATTGAGATTAGTTATGGACATCGAGTGTTTTTCTTAGTTGAACTCTCGAGTGATCTTAATCTTTTTTGATAAACCTAAATTGCCAAGATGATATATTTTTTTTCTCTTACTGACTCACCCAATGCCATTTTTTTTATATATGATGCAATTTATTATTGATATTAGTCATATGTCTTCATTTTATTTTGCAGTTTCTTGGAGCTCTGGTGGACAATAGTTGGGACGTCAGATATACTTATAGGAAAATACTCAAAGTAATGAAGCTAAATAATTTGGCATTGTTCAAATCATCTAATGACAGACTTCTGCAAAATTTAGACAGTTATCCACAGGTTTGCCTTATACTGTGTTCCACTTGTCTTTTATTTTTTCAATGGCTGTAAATCTCTTGTTAATTTTTTTATTTTCAGTATACAAGGTTATTTTACATTCAAAAATAAAACCAAACACAAATATACCCTACATGCATTTTTATTTCACAATTCAGGCAATAAAAAACTATATCCTTGAGGACCTTGACTACATATAATTACATCTTTTAACCGTTTTATATCTATTCTATGTTCTATTTGTAATTTTTATATATTTAATCATTTTTGTTTTGCATTATCATCTCTTCTTTCACTGGGCACCATTGACAATTTTATATAGAAATGTTAAAATAACCGATGTAAAAGACGTGAGAGATAGGTTAGATCAAGCAAAAATATTTGTAACCTAAATTGAATTAGGTCTATTTTGACATGATGAAACTACTTTTTAACTGTTAAGTTTAATTTTTAACTTTCATGCTTGTAGGATGAAGCAGATGTATTTTCTACTTTTTCTCATCTGGGCCGAAATCACAAGAAATTTGTAAGCATGATTATGAAGGACACGTTTGAAGAGGTGTGCTTAATCGGATTATTGTATAAAATCATATACTTGCTTGATCCTTTAGCATGTCAATGAAACAGATGTGTGCCTATATTTCTTTGAAGTAGTGGCACTGATTACCTTTTGGTTTTGCTTTTATAGGTAGAAACAGCTTTGGAAGGAAATGTAGAATTTGATAGTGCAAGGATAGCTGCATTGTTAATTCTTTCTATATCTGCTCCACTCTTGGATGCTGATGTAGGCAGAATACCACCAGTAATGTTTTCTTATGCAGTTACGTTCCTGGGTAGAATTTATAATGCTTTTAGTGATATCATGGATAGGGATGCCCTTTTGGCCTGCCTATGTGAGAAAAGCAGATCTACAGAGTATTCTGCATCAAATATTAACCTCGGGGAAGGGGAGCAACAGTTGCCTTTATTTGAAGGTGATGCTCCAAATGTTGCTACCAATGAGGTGATTGACTTGCATATCACAAGGGAGCCGAAAGAGTTAGCAAACCATCAGATAGAACAACAGCAATCTGTTCATGATGACGTTATAAACTTCGCAAACTATATCCTTGCAAAGCCCCCTGATATGTGGCCGAGCATACAGTCCGGTCATACAAATGAAGTGCTAAGGTCCTTAAGGTAATGAATTGTTGTATAACTTCAGTAACATGTGCCTTGGTATTTGTTGTTTCTTCCGATATTTGTGTCATGTGTTTGTTGCATACGAGTAACCCGAAACCAGTGTACAGATTTCATTTACAATAATTCAATTTTGGCATATTGATTTATATTTGTGAGATGAGTTTATGATATATACAGAATGTGGGCATTCTGGTTAGTTACTTGTATCTATCTTTGGTATTGGCTTGAAATTTAAGATGTTCTTCAAGCTTATACTCTTTTTATTATATTTGATTGATAAAATTCAGCATGCATGTGTCTAACATTCTCCTTGTTCTTTTAATCATTTCTTTCCTTGTGCTGATATCAATGATGCAGGTGTTTGAAGGAGTTAACCACTATGAAACTTGGTTCTTCGGGATATGCTGATGCTGATGCTGATGCTCTGGCATTTACTATACTATATCTCCGGGTAGTAGTGCTACTTGCAGAAGTATGGGAGCTCTTGCTGCCAGCAAAAGGGTTGCGTTCTCAGCGAATAGGAAAATTGGAATTCAAACTGGGAAAGCTTGATAGGAGGGTTAAAGAATTGATAAGTAGGTTTATAGGCTTTTCTGCAGAAGAGGAATTGAACCTCTTGGAGCTAATGTTATTGACATGTGCTCTCAGGATATGTAAAAATGAAATCATCTGTCTTAATCATACATTCAAGAGGTTGAGTACTCTATATTCACGTGTTGAAACTATCCTTAAAGAAAGTTCAGCTTTGCGATCCAATTTCGTAGTTGAACTTGGGAAAGTATTAAGTACCGTCTCCATCAATGGAGCTTCCTGCAGTCCATTTCAGTTTGATGCATGCCTCAAGTTTTTCTCTCTGAAGCAGTTTGTGTTTCATGGATCAATCAAACATGTAAATGCAGAACTAAGCATTCCCAATAATGACATGGAACATCCTCTTCCCTTTGTTTCAGGACTACCAGTGGGTGTACCATGTGAAATCACTCTCCATAATATTTTAAGTGAGAGTAAGTTGTGGCTAAGGATGGCTTTGGATGATGGTTTCATACAACATGTCTTTCTTGATTTGGACCGTTTTGAAGGCTCTGAAGATGTAAGAAAATTTACATTTGTTGCGCCGTTCTACAGAACAGCAGAAGCTTATTGCCTTGCATTGAAGGTTTGCATTGGTTTAGAATGTTTATTTGAAAATGTGGGTCCAGTACAAAGGTTTGGGGGACCAAAACGTGAACTAGTTCTTCTTTGTAAAGAAAAACAAGTTTATCTTTCAAAGGTTAATAAACATTAATTTATTATCTTTTTCTTGCTTTTAGCTAAACTGCCGCTCAATAAAATAATAATATAATATTTTTATTTTAAATATTAATTTTAAAATTAAAATATAATAACATATTTTAATACCTCATTCAAATAAAAGATATTAAATATATACTTCTGACAGTTATCTGGTCTATTTTTATTGGAAAACGATTCTTTGACAACTGAAAACAAACATCCGTTCGACAACCGGGGTTAAAAAGAAATTAATTAAAAATAAGGGTGTGACTAGTTAAATTGTAGAGGGGTAGAGATGTAATATTGTAAAAATGGGGGATGTAATGGTAAAAAGTGAAATATTTCTTCTTCCCCTCGCTCTTGTTCTTCCTCTCGCTCTCGCTTATCTTCTCCGTCTGGCTGTTCTTCCTCTCGCTCTTGCTTTGTCTATGTTTAAATATTCGGTTCTATTCATTTCGTTTAGGGTTTAATTTGGTTGTTGATTACGGTTTTGAATTCGTTTGCATTGTAAAGAAGAAGCATACAACAACCATCGAGGTTAATGTATTCTTTGCTTTCTAATTACTCACAGATTCTTTGTTCTCTGTTTTCGTTCACTGTTGACTATCTCAATAGTCATAAACATATATCATGACTGGCAAAAGAAAAAGCTCCAAGCGCAGCGACTTCTTCAAGTACCCAAACAGAGATGGGGAAGGAGGAGATAGCGACCTTAGATAGCGGTTAATTAGAACCGCTTTTAAAAATATATATTAGATAGCGGTTCGCTGTGAACCGCTATCTAAAGTATCGTTCAGATAGCGGTTGGCCAAATAACCGCTATCTAAAGTAATATATGTAAAGTAATCGACTATAATTGGATAATAATCGATCATAATGTATAGTTGAGATAGCGGTTGGTCAAATAACCGCTATCTAAAGTTATATATGTCAAAGTGATCGACTATAATTGGATAATAATCGATCATAATGTGTAGTTTAGATAGCGGTTGGTCAAATAACCGCTATCTAAAGTCATATATGTCAAAGTGATCGACTATAATTGGATAATAATCGATCATAATATTCGATCAGGGAGGAGATACCGGTTGGAGGAGAAGATAAGGACAACTTTCTTCCATTCCACTCTTGCTCCAATCCCAATAGTCTGAGATTGAAGATGATGTCAACAGTTAGCCAAGAAGGTTTATGGCAAACTGGAAGGAGTGTTGAGAGATAAATGATCTACCTTAGGTAATGCTTTGTTTTCAGTGGGAACCGGTGGAGATTGAGGTGAAGGTCTTGTAGTCTCCGGATTGGTTGGAGTAGAGCTAGTACATCGGACACCTGCGCCAACTTGAGAAGAATGCTCATCTGAAATGAGAGTCGATGCAGCGGAGCGATTTGAGCATCATTGCTCGGTGTCACGGATTCCCCATGGTTGGCTTCCGGCTCCGCATCCCGGTTAGGATATGTTAGAAGAGAAGGCTGAGATCAAGCCAAACTGTTTTTATAGAAGATTTTCAAAACCGTCGGTTTAATTAATCTATTAAAAGATTCTTTTAATCTGTTAAAAGTGCAGCTTTAATCTGTTAAAACTTCTTTTAATCCATTAATACGTTCTTGATTCTTTAACAGATTTGTTTTAATTGATACTGACAACGTTTATATCAATTAAAACACTTTATAAAAAATCTTCCAAGTTGATTTAATCGATTGTTTCGCGATTCAATCGATTGAAATACAAGAAAACTTTCTTAAAAACTTTTCAAGTTATTTTAACTGATAAAAATAAGTTTTAATCGATTAAAACTCTGTATGTAAAATTTCAAAGTTTTTTTAATTGATTGAAACGATATTTAATCGATTAAAAGAGTTCTGATCGGTCATAACTAAATTCTGATCGATCATAACTGACTCTGATCGGTCATAATTGTCTTCTAATCGATCATCCTGACCCTTCAAGTGATTTTAATCGATTGAAACGTGTTTTAATCGATTGAAACGTCAGTAAGTCATTGAAACATTGTTAACATGACAGCTACATCTCTGTTTTCATTTATATCTCCCATGCTAGATAAACGATGAAGGATACAGTTCCTACCATTGACAACAATATAATAGCAACCATCTCCTTTAAATTATATTCATATTACAATACACTAGTTTACCTACTTACATCATGCAAAGATACAGTCGCTTGAGCGACTGGTGAAGGACAGACGAAACGTCCTACACAGTTAGCCATCTAATAAATCTTGGTTCACCACATATAACATTTAACTGTCGCTCAAGCGATTACAGATTCGCTTGAGCGCGACTGAACCTGAAGCGACCTTACATAGCGGTTAATAAGAACCGCTTTTAAAAATATATATTAGATAGCGGTTAAACGTTAACCGCTGTCTAAGGTCTGTGAATAATCGACTATAAGCTATAATAATCGATCATATTCTCTCATTTTTCTGAAGTCGCTCAAGCGACTTTATCATCGCTCGAGCGAAAACACCTAATAGAATGGGGATTCTCGGGTTGTGTTTCGCTTGAGCGACTTAGTCTCGCTCAAGCGACATTTGATTGACTTTGCAGAGCGGTTAATATTTTAACCGCTTTTAAAAGTAAACATATAATAGCGGCTATATGTTAACCGCTATCTAAAATATACTTTTAATAGCGGTTATTTGTAGAACCGCTCTTTTTAGTAGGTTTAGATAGCGGTTTCCAGAACCGCTATCTAAAGTCCCAATTTTAAAAAAAAATTGTTTAATATTTGTTTTGCTTATTTGGTCAAAAAGACTAGGTTTGCTTTAAAATTATCTAAATTCCCAATTTAAAGTCTCAGAACGATTTTAATATTATTGGTTTGTTATATACTGAAATGTCTACAATTAGGTTTGGTTTTTTTGAAGGTAGTTTGCTGTTATCATGCAGAGTGATTTTTATTACATGTCTTTCATTGGACGTAATATAGAACCGATGATTGTTACGTAAATGTATGGACCATCAACTGCTTATAAATGCATTGAAGAAATTAAAATTGTTGTTACATTGTTATATTTACATCCACAAAATCAGAATGTATAGTCTACACTACTGTTGCACGTCTATGTCCTATCATATATACTCTAACAAAATCAGAATGTGGAGTCTACACTACTGCAAAATTCTATGTTGTAGATATTAACACTTATGTCCTGCAAGTTGAAGAAGAAATCATTAGTATACATGAACGTCATGCACTTCTAAACTAATGTAATATTCATTGTTGACAAAGTATTTCATTAAAAAAACAATGTTTCCAAACCATTTAGTTGAGGAAGACAATTGTGTGCCGTCAACATTACTGTCAAGTGATGTCAACAATGACACAAAACCAGTGGTACCCAATGTTGATGGCTGCAAAGGGCAACAATTACATGAGTTTTGACAAATGACTTTATTGCCATTTTACATAACATAAACTGCATAAACAGTATATCAATCCCACAAATAAATTCAAATGAATTGCATATCACACTTTAAATAAAGCAAATTCAATTGAACAATCACTATAACATGAAATAAATTTCATTTTTGACACACACCAATCCAGATGACCGATAATCAACATGAGTTCCTTCAGTGTTCCCCTGTAATGGCCAAGATAAGATATTAATGAACTTATGAAATCATCCAATACAAAATAACATGACAGTTGTGGATATAATACTTACAATATTTGTGGTGCACGTGTGCTGGCCTTTATTTTGTAACCTTCGCGTTGCACTTTTTTCACTTGTTGACACCTTTCGGAGTGAACGTGGTCTTCCTTTCCTTTTAACATGCAACGGGCTACGAATATCAATGTCAACGTTGTCAACATATAAGCTTTGTGAATTTCTAGGAGTATTACTTTCGCAGATATTGGTATCTATTTGAGTTTGAGAACGTTGAGATGTATGTGTTGGAGCAAATTTATTCATCATTTCATGCAACATGTCTGTCTGCTCAATTGACTCTGATGCAACTTCAGCAATCTCATAAAATCTTTTACACAACTCATCGTATCGTTCAATCTGCGGTTGCTTCTCCTTTACATTGTAGGTGGTTTTCATATAAGTATGCTTCCTTCTCACATTTTTACTCCATCTACTTAAAATGTATTTGCAGGGAATCTTTTTAACCCTTTGTTGAGCAAGGACGACCAAACAATGTCGGCAAAGAATACCTTTGAATTCAAATAGCAAGCACGTGCAACTGACATTTTGGTCATCAAGGTTGAAACTTACACTGTACAGGTGTTCTTTAGAATCTTCACCACAAATAGATTCCTCCATAACGTCATAAAACCAAGCAGATCCAAGGCAAGACACATGCACAACACTGCAGTTGATTTTTCCTCTAAATTCTGCTTGAACCTCTGCGAATTTTGAATGTGTATACTCCGATTGAAATTGCCTCTCTATCGTAGACTGTGATCCACAATTAATAATTGTATGCATGGATGCAAAATCAGCTTCATATTCCTTCTCAGCCTTGTCTTGTAAGGCATTTTCATACTGCTTGACAAATTGTTGGAGGGATGTCATTGAGGTGATATATCCATCAAAAAATGCATTCATACTTTCACTTCGTTGTGTAGTTGACATCCCAGCCCAAAATTGGTTTTTCAAAAAGCATGGAACCCATCTCTGTTTCTCTTGGAAAAGGCTATTCAACCACTCATTGTCTTGTAAGCCAAAATCTGATATGAAATTAGCCCATTTGGATGTGAATTCAGATATGGTGGAAGACTCATAAACAACCTCCTTCATAGCATACTTCATATTTTTATATTCTGTATAACCTTTCAACTTTTCTGGAATTTTTTTCATTATATGCCATAGACACCACCTATGACGGGCTTCAGGAAAAACTATCTGAATGGCATTTTGCATTGCCTTGCACTGGTCAGTGATAATACCCGTAGGAGCCTTCAATGACATGCAACGTAACCATGATTCAAATAACCAAATAAAAGAAGTGGTGTCTTCACTTGATAACAACCCACACCCTAACAATATGGAGTGTCCATGATGATTTACACCCACAAATGGTGCGAACGGCATGTCATATTTATTGGTCAAGTATGTTGTATCAAATGAAACAACATCGCCAAAGTATTCACAAGCCGCCCTACTTCTAGCGTCAGCCCAGAAAACATTTTTTATACGATTATCATCATCCAAGTCTATATCAAAATAGAAATCCTTGTTCAAGTCCCTCATTTGTGAAAAATAATTCAATAGAGCTTTCCCATCACCTTCTTTTCCTAGTGCACGTCTTTGTTTATTGACATAGTTGCGTACATCTCGTTCGACAAATTGGAGGTTTTCATAACCTCCTGCACTACTAACAACTGACCGAAAGCTTTTATTGATCCTCACACCTGCATCATCATTTATGTCTAGAGTCCTCTTCACATGCAAACTAATGTTCCTATTGCTTCGAAACATTCTGGATTTCTTTGGGCTAAGAGAATGTGAATGTTCATCATTCACCGACATAATATACCATAGTCCTTCCTTTAATACAACTGTTATCCGTGCAGGACATGAATTTGTTTTGGTGGGTTGGGTTCTAATTTCAGTAGGTGTAGCAGAAACATACTTACCAGCCCTTGCACACACCAACATGAAGTACCGCAATTGGTTATCGGGCCCCTTCTTTGAACTCCTTGTTTTGATGCCAAATCCTTTTTGTATGGCATATTGTCGATAAAATGATTTAACTGCATCTGCAGTTTCAAAGAACATTCCTACACATGGAGCAGAACCGTCGTATTCTGTTGTAGTCCTGACATCTGCGTCAGGAGATCCTTCATCATGGCCAACCAACACTTCTTCTTCATGTAAACTTGTGGCATCTGCATTACTGGGTATTTTATCATGTACACGTATCATTTCTTGGTCTACACCTTTGAGAGGACCATCACATTGTTGTACATCCGCATCACTACCTATGTCATCATACACGGCCAAAATGCCTTCATTGACAACTACATCTCTGTTTTCATTTATATCTCCCATGCTAGATAAACGATGAAGGATACAATTCCTACCATTGCCAACAATATAATAGCAAGTTATATAAGTTCGGAACTTGGAGACGAAAATAGTCAATGTAAATGTTCAATCGTTTATCTACCCAAAAAACACAATTTTAGATCACAATGTAGACAAACTCTAAACGCTAAACCCTAAAAATATATAATGCACTAACTCCCAATAAGCGCGGCCTACAACAACAATGGCGAATGGAGACTGGAACGCGAACTTGGCGACACACAAATATGTTACAATGTAATATGCTTCAATGTGAGCAAGAGAATCAGAAAGATTGAAAATAACGTACCTGAAGCTTAATAACACACAAATATTTTTTATTCGATAACACTGTACATTTAATATTTTTTTATTCAGTTGTCGAATGGATGTTTACACTCGGGTGTCAAAATATCAGCACTCTTTTTATTAACCGTAAAAATGTTATTTCAATATAAAATATACTGAAATGATAAAAAAAAGTTATATTTCACGTTAAATTCATTGATTCACTGTGCCATTACATCGCGGTTAGAATCCGCACTAATTTGAAACTAACTGACATGATCATATACTTATAAGGTGATCACCTTTTAGATACTTTAAAAAAGTCATTTTTCAATAACTTCATAAAAAAGTCATAAAAATAAAGTCTTTTATTCTGGCTTAGCTTAATCAGATAAAATTTAAAAAAAAAAAAAAAAAAAAAAAAAAACTCATATCTTATCTAATGAATTGGATAAAACCTACAAGTCTGAAAACCCTAACCCAAACCCACATACGAAAACATGAGTCATTCATATTATTACGACGGAATAACGGAAATTCTGTCATGGCTTGCAGTGAAATCGCTTATGCGATTTAAGTGTATCAGCAAATGGTTTGAATCATTGATAACCGACCCATGGTTCGTGAAACTGCATCTTCAAAGATCACCCAGAGGAGAGAACGCTGGTGCAGTGCTTAAGCACCGACAATGTGAATCCTCCTTTCGTCTTTTCATGCCCTATCCGTATTATGGAAGACAAAGTGTCGTTGGATGTCCATGATCGCACCCTCGAATACGATCTTAGCGGCTTGTTCGGGGTTATTGGAACCTGCAATGGACTGCTGTGTCTGGCCGGACCTCACATGTTCCACGTGTGTAACCTCGCCACCAGAGAAACAGAGGAATGCCCCTTTCCTGTTTGTTCGCCCGATCAATTTTATTGCATAGCTGCGTTTGGCTACGATGCTCTACGCGATGTTTACAAGGTGGTATTAATGCTTGCCTCTATTGATCTCCTGAGTGATTCCATCAGATACTCTCATGCCAAAGTTTGCAACATAGATGGCAACAATTGTTGGAGAGACATTGAAGGTTTTCCCAATCCCAGTGTAGTGCAGGGTTCAGGATCGGGATTGTATCTGAATAGCACTCTTAATTGGATGGCGTTGGATCGTGATGATGCCCACCACCATGACTTGATTATTGCATTTGGTGAATTGGCTATTGTTTCACTTGATCTTCGGACTGAGACATCCACGCAGTTCTTGCTGCCTCAAGTTCTTGATACAGTGTACATGCTAGATTCCTCCCATGTAGGATTTGAATGGGGCTATCATGACAGTTTGGTAGTTTTGAAGGACTGTTTGGCTCTCTTTTTTCACAATCACACCAAAAGAATTATTTCCATATGGCAGATGAAAAAGTTTGGCGATCGTAAATCTTGGACATTTTCTCTCAACATCAACATGCAAGATCTTCAGCTTCACTGCATGCCATGTCCTTACTTACAGCCATTGATAATGCTTGAGAATAAAGTTCTCATCCTCGACTCTACACATAAGAAAATCAGAATAGTTACATTTGATGGTCGTGGTAATGTACTAGAACATCATCACATTTCCACCGACTTATACAGGATCTTTCCTACGAGTTATGTTCAAACCTTGGTTTCGCCCATAAGTCACTAGGTCTTTGTGTTTATAGTAATATTTGTCATTTCAAATCCTTTTCTACTTATTGTGTTGATAATAGACAAGCGATGGGTACAAGTTCTGAATGATTTTGTTTTGGTTGGATCCTCACAACATTTTTTAATCATTTGTTAATTGTTATTCTGGTTTATCATTGCTAATTGTTGAGAGAGGAAAATCATTTTGTGAAATGTAATGTCTTGTGATTGTGACACAAACTGCATTTGTTGAAATGTTTCTTTTGCAACAAATAAAAGTATCGGTATTTTTTAATAACAAACAAACATTCACTACAAGAAAAACACCAAATAGTGACCGAAATGAGTGACTGAAAAAATTCAATCACTCGATAAGTAATCGAATCAGCGATCGATTTCTCTGATTTAGTGACTAAAATTTCAATCACAGATATCTGAATTTTTTTTTATATTTAGTAACTCGATTTAGTGACTAAATTTTCGAGTCACTAAAAAAATAATTTTTAAATTGATAACTATTTTTCATTTATATAAATATTTTATTTAAAATATTTTAAATATAAATCTACTTAATAATTTAAAATAAGTGATAACATTGTTAATAACATTATAAAAATTTTAAAAAAATAGTTTACTAACTTATTAAATAATTTAGTAATATAATTATTTAATTTTATTTTTTAATTTAGCATGTGAATAAAAAAATTAAAATTGATTATTAAATTAGTCATCGAATCGGTCATCGATTCGGTCACTGAATCGATCACCGATCGGTCATCGATTCGATCATCGAATCGGTCACTAAATCAATAATTAAATTAATTATTAATTTAGTCTCTTTATATATATATATATATATATATATATATATATATATATTACTTGTATGTTAATAAAAATGTATTTCAATGTATTTATAAAAAAATAAAATTATTTTAATTACTGATTTGATATTTTAAATTTATATTAATATCTTGGATAATTTAATAGTTGGATATATATTTTAAGTTTATATTAGTCATTTTTATATAAAAGTGTAAAAATAAAGTGAACTTATTTTAAAATTTAATTAAACATAATAATATAATATAGTATTAACCATAAATATGTGAAGATTTAGTTAGAAATTAATTTTAAGTTTTATTGTTTTTATTTAAAAAAAATCATTAAAAAAATTTAAAATAATCAATTAAAGTAAAGAATTTTAATTTAATAAATGTGTTAATATTATTAGAAGAATTAAATTTATATTAATAATTATATAAAATTATAGATATATTAAAATTTAAATTATTGGTAATTTTTTTAATTATTAAGCTAAAATTTGATAATATTAATAAATTAAAAATAATATATATATATATATATATATCACTTTAATTTTTTTAATTAAAATTAATTTCATAAAAAAATTAATATTTGAAAATTAAAATGCAAAAGTATATATATTTATCTTTTACTTAATTATACTTTTACACCTAAAAAAAGAAAAAAATAATAAAATTTTCTTTTATTAATCATTTTAATAAAATAAAAAAATATATAATAATTACTTTTATAAAAAAAAAATTTAACGTTCTTGATTCTTTAACAGATTTGTTTTAACTGATACGACAACGTTTATATCAATTAAAACACTTTACAAAAATCTTCTAAGTTGATTTAATCGATTGTTTCGCGATTCAATCGATTGAAATATCTGCAAAACTTTCTCGTAAAACTTTTCAAGTTATTTTAACTGATAAAAATAAGTTTTAATCGATTAAAACGCTGTGCAGAAATTGTTTTAATCTATTGAAACGAGATTTAATCGATTAAAATAGTTCTGATCGGTCATAACTGCATTCTGATCGATCATAATTGAAATGATATAATAGCGGTTCCAGGTTAACTGCTATCTAAGTGAGCTTTTAAGAGCGGTTCCTGTGTAACCGCTATCTAAAATGTATCTCGCTTGAGCGACACTCTTCTCGCTCGAGCGAAACGCCTCCTGCACAAAATTGGTATTCTCGGGTTGTATTTCGCTTGAGCGACTCTAGTATCGCTCGAGCGATATTTAATTCTGATCGATTAGATTTTTGAAATGATCGATCATATTTGATAATTTTTTCAAATAATTAATTATAATCGATTAGTTTTCTAAATTATTGATTAGAATTGATTAGTTTTTCAAATAATAGATTAGAATTGATTAATTTCTGAAATATATACTAAAAAATTATAATTAAAAATATAAATTAGTTAAGAATATTGACTATTGTAAAGATAAAGTAGAACATGGGAGGAGACGAGGATGATAATATAATGATAGAACTTACAAAAATGTAGAATTGAGAAGTTTGAAACAAATAAAATTAAGAAAATAGATATTTAATTACACTTTTAATAAATTTAAGATAATACTAGTTTTGATTTTTATTTTTAAATATTTATTTTAATTATTTAAAATAGAGAAACTATAATTTTAGTTTCTAGCTACTTGAATTTAAAGAATTAAACTTATTATTATTTAATCTTTTAATTTGTAGAATTAAACTTAATATAATTGTTACAAATACTTTGTAGAGGCATTTGAGAAAGTTTTTGTCAAAATACTTTGTTTTTAATTGTTAAAAACATTTGTAGAGGCATTTTGCAAAATCTTTTAAGTGAAGAAACCTATGCAACAGAAATCTTTTAATTTTAGTATTAAAAATTTAAATTATATTTTATTAAATTAAACTAGTTACAATATATTTTTTTACTTTGAGAATGAACAATATAATTAAACTCAAAATTGACAATATTATAATACATTTTTGAACTCTTTTGGATTAATTTTTTTTCCTAATTTTTGATAAAGTTAATTTTAATATTTAAAAGTATTTAACATTTTGAATTCTGAAAGGTTTTCTCTAATAGCAAATTTAAAAACATAATATTCAAAAAAATAGTTAATGTAAGTTTTCATGAAGATATGATAGCGGTTCCACGTTAACCGCTATCTAAAGTATAATTTAGATAGCGGTTAATGGTTAACTGCTATTAGAAGTGCACTTTTAAGAGCGGTTCTTGTGGAACCGCTATCTAAAATGTATTTTGCTTGAGCGACAATATTCTCGCTTGAGCGAAACGCCCCCTGCACAAAATTGGCATTCTCGGGTTGTATTTCGCTTGAGCGACACTACTCTCGCTCGAGCGAAATACGATTCTGATCGATCATAACTTGAAATGATCGATCATAATTGAGAGGATATAATAGCGGTTCCCTTATAACCGCTATCTGAAGTGTATATTAGATAGCGGTTAAGGCTTATACGATATCTGAAGTGTATTTCGCTTGAGCGAGACTACTCGCTCAAGCGAAATCCGATTCTGATCGATTATATTTTCAAAATGATCGATCATATTTGATAATTTTTTCAAATAATTAATTATAATCGATTAATTTTCTAAATTATTGATTAGAATTGATTAGTTTTTCAATTAAAGATTAGAATTGATTAATTTCTGAAATATATACTAAAAATTTATAATTAAAACTATAAATTAGTTAAGAATATTGACTATTGTAAAGATAAAGTAGAACATGGGAGGAGATGAGGATGATAATATAATGATAGAACTTACAAAAATGTAGAATTGAGAAGTTTGAAACAAATAAAATTAAGAAAATAGATATTTAATTACACTTTTAATAAATTTAAGATAATACTTGTTTTGATTTTTATTTTTAAATATTTATTTTAATTATTTAAAACAGAGAAACTATAATTTTAGTTTCTAACTACTGAATTTAAAGAATTAAATTTATTATTATTTAATCTTTTAATTTTAGTATTAAAATTTTAAATTATATTTTATTAAATTAAAATAATTACAATATATTTTTCTACTTTGAGAATGAACAATATAATTAAACTCAAAATTGACAATATTATAATATATTTTTGAACTCTTTTGGATTAATTTTTTTTCCTAATTTTTGATAAAGTTAATTTTAATATTTAAAAGTATTTAAAATTTTGATATAATGAGCATGATAATATAATGATAGAATTTACAAAAATGTAGAATTGAGAAGTTTAAATTTTTTTTTAAGAAAATAGATATTTAATTATACTTTTAATAAATTTAAGATAATACTAGTTTTTAAACCTTTTTCTAATATTTGTTTTTAAAAATATAATATCATTTTTAATATTTTATAGATTTTATATTTATATATTTATAAAAGTAATTGGATTAAATTTATTATCCTCTCATATATTATTATACATTTAGCGTAATTTTAGTTTATTTAAAAATTAGAATACAAATATACTATACCAATATATTATTTTCATTGTATATAAATTACAAAATTAATAATTTGTATACTATACTATACTAACATATTATTTGTATACTATACTAATAGTATAATATACTATATTATAATATTATTTGTATACAAAACTAATATCTTTATATATAAATATGGAAAGATATAAATATATGTAAAAATATAAACATATAAATATATATAAATATGTAAAGATATAAACATATATCTTTAATATTTTGTAAATGTAAATATAATTTATATATATTTTTAAATCTTTTTCTAATATTTATTTTTAAAAATATAATATTATTTTTAAAATTTAATATTTTTTTTTCAAATATATAAATATATAAAGATATAAATGTATAAGGATATAAATAAATATATAAATATATAAAAATATAAAAATATAAATATATAAATATATCAATATATATAAATATATATATATATATATATATACAAATATATCAATATATCAATATTATCCCCTCATATATTAATATACATTATGCTATATAAATATATCAATATATAAATATATCAATATTTAAATATATCAATATTTAAATATATATTAAAATATATAAATATATTTTTATTTATAGATTTTATATTTATATATTTATACGGATATACATTTATTTGTATATAAATATAATATATTTATAAGTTATTATTAAAAGATCCTAGTAGCTCAGTGGTTGGAGTTT